AATTAATTGACCAAAACTGCACAGCTACTGATATTAGTCTTCACATATCCATCATCTCCTTTACAGAAGCCCCAAGGCATCAAGCTAATTTAGCACTATTTCTGGGCAACAAACATGAAATCTCCTATACCCTCCAAACTACTACCATCCTAAACAAGGCAGGATCATCCTTATTTTCTCCAGTTTTCAGAAATTAGCAGTAAAAACTGGACCAATGTAGCTTAGGTTAAAATGTTCCACAAACAACAAAAATGATTTTAGATAACTAATACATCCTTAACAAGACAATTTATTCATCTAGAACATGAAATACTAAAAACTAAGCAAGGAGAAACAACCATAATTTAGTGCCCTCAGAACCTACCAAGAAAAAGATAACTTTTTTCTTATAAATCAAACTAGCAAATATTTCAATGTATTTGTATTATGTAGTAAACTAGCTATGATGCAGAAGAAATAGATATGATTCTGAAGAAATTCCTTAAACCAATATTTTCTTTAAATATTGGTACTTTCTGAAGATTAAGAAAAAATAATCATAAAATGCTGTCTTACTTAAAAACTACATTTAGGTTTTTTTAAGGTCCTGTTATGATCAAAAGTTTCATCTGTAAATTCATTGTTGAAGGTGATGTGAAAAAGTAATAATTAAGTGGGTGATTGATACAAGTGAGCGCATGACTCATAGCTTGCAAAGGAAAATGATTTTTGGGAAAAGGCTCAGGAAGAAGAAAAGCAAATAATGGATTCTGGATGAAATGAAGATCTTTCCTGTCCAAGACTGTCACTAGTACTTTATTGCTTGAAGATTAAGGGAATAGTGAATAAAGCTGTCTGGCAGACAGCAGAAAGGTAAGAAATAGCATCATCTCTAAGTGTACATCACATGAAAGTTTTCAGAAATAACATTCATAAAATTAAACTTTCTATAAAAAGTTATTTGAAAACCCAACTGAAATTAAACAATGAAAAGTCACAATAAACCAATATTACATTTGTCTGGAATTTGAACAGAAAAATACAGTAGTGTAGATCAAATTGGAGAATCCTCTAATTTTATTCAATTCCATTTAAGAAAAAAGGCATATACAATACTGATTTATTAGGAGACTTGGTGGAGTTTGTTCTTCTAACTCATGGGTTAGTGAAAAATAAATATTTGGCTTTGCCACTAAGATTCAGTAAATTGATACAATGTAATTTTGGTTCATGGTTGCCAGCAGTCAAATTCAAGGTGCTAAATTCAGTTCCAGTTTTTTACTAACTTCCCCTCTCTCTATATATATCAATATATTTAAAGTTTCTCTCTATATATGAATGTATTTAAAATAAATCACAAGGGTCAGCGTTGTGGCCCTTGTTAAGGGTCAGCAGGTTAAGCTGACACTAATGATTCCAGCAACTCATATTGCAGTGCCAGTTCAAGACTATGCTGCTCTGCTTCAGATCTAGTCTCCTGCTAATGCACCTAGGAAGGCAGTAGATAATGACCCAAGTGCTTGAACTCCTGCCACCCATGAAGAATATACCAAGATGGCGCCTAGCTTTATCCTGGCCCAAACCAGCTGTTTCAGCCACTTGGCAAGTAAACAGGTGGGTAGAAAATGGATCTACCTCTCTCTCTCTCTCTCTCTCTCTGCCTGTCTCCATCTCTGTCTCTCTGCTGCTCTGCCTTTCAAATAAATCAATCTTCAAAAAATAATAAATCACATATACATATATAAAAAATTGCACTGAGATTATTTTAAGTGCTATACTTGCTTTATGAATCTTTAAGAAAATAAAGAAGATTTCACTTAATTAAAACCATATTCAACAGGAAGTTTTACCCAACTTAATTTTTAAATTTACATTTTAATGTATATTTATTCTAGAGTCCCTACATGACAGCATTGAGCGAGATGCCTTGTATATATAAAGTCATGTAAGCATGCTTGAATTATTTTGTTTTATGAACAATATTCTTATGAAACAACCCATTTGATATCACTGATGGCTTTTTCTTTTTCTTTTTTTTTTTGGACAGGCAAAGTTAGTTAGTGAGAGAGAGAGAGAGAGAGAGAGAAAGGTCTTCCTTCCGTTGGTTCACCCCCAAAATGGCCACCACAGACGGCACACTGCACCCATCCAAAGCCAGAAGCCAGGTGCTTCCTCCTGGTCTCCCATGCAGGTGCAGGGCCCAAGACCTTGGGCCATCCTTCACTGCCTTCCGAGGCCACACAGAGAGCTGGACTGGAAGAGGAGCAACTGGGATAAAACCCAGTGCCCCAACCAGAACTAGAACCCGGGGTACCAGCATCGCAGGCGGAGGATTAGCCAAGTGAGCTGTGGCGCTGGCCACTTATGGCTTTTATATGAGCAACATCCACTAATTCTAATATTCCTTATCCATATAAATTAGAATTTAGTTTATGAAAACCACTTGATACAACTTGAATAAGTCTTAGAAAAAAAAGAAAAAAGATACTGCACATTAAGAGCTTTTTTTTTCTCAGACAAGAGATTCTAAACAGGCAGTCCAGTCCCAGAATCTTGCTAACCACTAAGTTATGTTCTCCTATATATTGGAAAAAGAAGTGAAGTATGACTTTCAAAATGAAAATAAATGACTTTGGTAAAAACAATAGCTTTTAGTATAAGGGATCCCATTTCTGAAGGCAGTACACTGGAAAGCACAGTATTAATCACTTAATAGACACTTGAGGAAAACCTAGCAAAAAGTAATTAATTGTGTGTGTTTCTATGTATGTTTCTAGTATTTTCTTTTTGGATATTGTATCACTTCACATTTTTGTTAACTCTTCATGAGTTTTAAAGCTTTTCCTATCAAAGACTTTTTTATCCTGCTGGCCATACTGTAAGTAAGATAGGTGTTATCTTTAATGTTATGTGTGAATCTGGTTGGGCAACAGTGCCCAGATATTTAGTTAAACATTATGCCGGATGCCTCTTTAATCCTATTTTCTGGATGAGATAGCATTTAAATAGGTGGACTTCGAGTAAAGCAGATTATTCTTCATAATATGAGAGCGTCTCAACCAATCAGGAGAGGCCTTAATAGAACAAAAGCTGACATTCAATAGAACAAGAAGGAATTCTGCTAGCAGAGTTCCTTTAGACTACTTTCCTAGTTCCCCTGCCTGCCAGTCCATCTTGCTGATTTTGAATTTACCATCACTACATACTACATGAGTCAAATTGTTCAATTCATTCATATTTTCAATCTCTCTCCCCCTCCCACACTTTGTCTTTCCCTCTTCTCTTCTCTTTCTCACCTGTAGGTATACCCTCCCCTTATCCATAATTTATTGCAGAAAAAATAATTCTTAAGTTTTAAATTACATGCCATTCTAGATATACCTTCCCAATATGTCCCACTCAGGACATGAACAATCCTTTGTCCAATACGTCCACACTGTACACTCTACCACCATGAGTCACTTAGTAGTCATCTCCACTATCAGGTTATCAGATTGATGGTCACACATTGCAGCGCTTGTGTTCATCTAACACTTATTTTACTTAATAGTCCCAAAGCACAAGAATAATTATGCTGGTAAATCATATATGCCAAAAGCTCTCAATTTAGTAGGAAGAAAAATTATATGCTGATATAGGGTAAGAACAGGAAAACAACATTATGTAATAATAAAGTTTGGTACTATCTATGGTTTTAGATATCTACCTGATGTAGATATCTACATCTTAGATGATGTACCCTGAAGGGGAAACTATCATCTGTAAATGCACGCACATGCACGCACGTGCACACATATGCACATATTGCTATGATTTAGTTGTGGTTTGTCTTAGAAATGGGTCGTCCTTTGGAAATATGATCCCCAGTGTGGCCAAGTTCAGATATGTTCTGACCTTTAAGAAGTGGGTCAAGTGAGAAACAATTAGTAAAAGGAATTTATATAGTGTTCAAGAGACTCTGGTTAGTTCTCATGGAAAGGTTGTTGTAAACAAAGAAAACTGGCCTCTCACCAACACTCTGCCTTCCTGACTTGCCATGTGATATGCTCTCCCTCTCCTACTATCTCCCTCTATGCCAACCACTGTGCTGAGATGCAGCTTGGGTATGTTTTGCCAGAGCCAGTTCCAAGATATTTTGACTTCCACTTCCAATAGCATAAGTTGAGGAAATCTCTTTCATTATTTCATCATGGAAATGAAAAACAGATACATACACACTCTACTGGTTTTCTCATAAGAATTCTTACTAATACAGCAGATGCCTGAAAAATAAGACTAAGATAATAGGGAACAGGAATTTAGATTCAAGTCTTTGTCTCCAATCATGGCTAAAAAGATAAAATTCCCAAAAAGTTTCACAGGCATTCACTTATTACCCTAGCATTTAAAAATGTTCTTTTTTAATTGTCATTTGATGAAACTAATCAACTTTGGGAAATCATTTGGCAAATCTTCAAAAAGTTAAGCATAAAGCAATTCCACTCCTAAATATCCAAAAGAAAGGAAAACATGTCTACAAAAACTTGTATACAAGTTCAGAGTAATATTATTAACAATAGTGACAAAGCACAAGCAACATAAATGGCTGTTAACAGATAAATGTGGCATATCCACACAAGGGAATGAGTTAGCCATTAAAAAAGAAACAAAGTACAGATATATGCCACACCATGGATGAAACTTGAAAACATGCTGCGTAAAGGAAGGCACATACAAAAGTTCATATCTTATGTGAATCAATTTTTATGAAATGTCCAGAACAGGCAAATCCATAGAGACAAAATATAGACTAGCGATTGTCAGGAGTTAAGGGAAGGAGGCCAATGGGAAATGAATATAATGGATATAGGGTTTCCTTCTGCAATGACGAAAATATTCCTGAATTAGATGGTAGTAATGACTGTAAAACCTTATGAATATGCTGAAGAGCATTGAATTGTAAAATTTAAAATAGAGAAAATTACAATAAATAATTTGTAACTCAATAACAAGTACTATAAGTAAAAACCCAATCAACTCACCTGCCCTTTCTGTGGTGCCAAACAACGGACAACTTCATCCACCATTACTGGAATGTGTAATTCAGTCATAGCTTCAGAATCTCTATCTTGAGATTTGTGCAACTCCTGAGCTCCAGTTTGATCTGATTGTCCCTGGGCTTCATAGTCATTATGTACTTCTGCTGTACTGTGTATTTTTTTTGGCCAGACACCTAAATTAAGCATGCCAAATTCCAACCAGCATGAAGGAAATTCTTTACATATTCTACAAAAATATGAGTACCGAAGCATTCTGTATGTAGGTCAACGAATCTAGAAAAAAAAATTCAAAACACAATTCTTGAATATTTTAAAAGAATGTTATAACACTTGGAGGAAAGCAAAATAATATGAAATATTCAACTCATCAAAAAATAGGGCTCATCATCTGCAGATCTTAAACAAATTGTAGTAACTAACCTTCTTACAGCAAACAAGGAATCTAAGAGACTGCAGAAACATAATTTAAATGCAAGTTTAATGTGGCCTGATAAAAACATTGTTTCAACCATCAGGGATACGATAATTGATTATTCAGTCTTTTTTTGGAAATATACTTTTTTTGAATTTTAATAAATTCTAAAGAGTAGGTTTAATAAGCTTAAATTGCTCATCTGAAAAGCTATCTGGACAACTGAAGGGATTATAAGCATCCTATTTTAGATTCAGGTGGTATTTTATTTCAAGTTCTTTCATTTGTTTTTCTCTTATTATTAAAGTCTCAATTTCAAGTTAACTTTTTATGAGAGACTGTTCCTAGAAAGAGACAAGACATGTACACCCAAAAAGAAAAGGAGACACTTTGGCATTTCATATCCATCTTTGTTTTTGAGCCCCATGCCCAAACTAAGCAATAACTGATAAATGCCTTGAAATTTCTCAGACCTGTTCAAATGTCTTCTGCAATCTATACTTCTTTTGAAGACGAAAGAAGAAAATTATTTATGTAAATACATTAACAAATATATTGACAACATTATGATTTTTACTAAGTTGGCTCCAAGCAACATTTTTAACACTACCACAGTAAATAATCAGTAAACACTACTCTTTTCTCCTCCTGGATACTGAGTTATACAAAAACAAGACCCCAACACTTTTCTATGCATATATCAAGACACACAGAATGCATACTAAGTATTTTCTGAGGAAAAAGATGAACAGATAAATTCCACACAGAAGTCACATTTTTATGAATTCCCATTTCAAGAAATCCCACCTGTCTCACTCCAAAAATCACATCCTCAAAATACTTCAAAAAACATAAATCAAAAGCTGAAACACTGATCACATGTAATGACTAAAACAGAATGAAATATAAATATGATAGCATATCAGTATGCCATGAATAAGATGTTATCTTGATAATAAACTAACTTTATTATTGATAAAATCCACAGAACTTTATGGCAAATATAACAAAGAAAAATATGGCCAAAAAGAAAAATAGTGGAGTGTTTTAAATTTTTGGATACTAAGCAGTTAACTAGTCAATCAATTATCCATCAGAAAGCTTACAAAATGTAAAACCAACCACTCTCTTAGTGTTTTTCTCATTTTTCAAAATAGTTAACATTTATTTAGCATTTATTAAATACCACTTACTGTTATTTTAAGCACACTACACATGTACTAGCTCACTCAATCCTTACCACAACTGTTATTATTATCCCCATTTTACAGATGAGGAAAACGGGGCAATTAAGTACTTTGCCAAAGCCAGAAATGTAACGCAACTGCTCCATCCCCAGAGCCTAAAAATCTTAATTCTAATGTTATAAACATAGCACACTGGAACTACTTCATTTACTCATGAAATTTAATGGTACTTCAATTATACTGACTATGGATTTGTGAATTTAGATTCAATTATTTTAAGGAATCAACATCCTATGTCTTGGCCCTGATCTGCTTGAAAAGAACAATAGGCTGCAAGGTATCCGAAAGAGAGCTTTCTGCTTACAGACCGAAATAGCGGAATTGGGGGTATTTAAACAAGCTGTACTATGTGTCTAGATTTTTATAATTAAGAGAGAAAGCCCAAGCAGCAGCAGAAGCAATTCCAATATACCCACCAAACCCACCTGAGGAAAAGCAGTAATAGGCAAGAAAACAAAATGCTATCACCAGCATTAAATTATCCTCTAATGTATTCAATGTGTTTGTATGTATATATGTTATATCTATACAATATTTTATATATTAAAACTATAATCAAGGTATAACGCCTTGATTTTTATTGTGAATTAATTGTCTAAGTTGTATCAAATGGAGAAAGGGCTACAAATAATTCATTTTCCTCTATGGTTGTTTCTGGAACACCTACCTCAAAACGGGAAGAAAGCTCTAAACGAAGTTCTTTTCCCTGTCCAGCAGCCGGGTCTCCTACCAGACAACCCAAAGCCCCCAGCTGTCTTCCGAGAGGCAGCCACCTAAAGGATTTCCGATTAAATTCCCTCTGGTCATAGGAAGGCAGCAGTCAGCTATCTAGGGTGGGCCCCGCGGTGTTCTAGGTAAGTCCTTTAACTTTTGTCTACTAGCCAGATTCAGTTTTAGCTTGTTGAGACTACACAATTGGCCCGTTTACTCTGTTTACTCCGGGCAAACAGGTGAAGGGTATCTGTGAAGACGACTTCCTCAAGCGTGCTAACAATTACCATAACTGCAGTTCAATTTCCTCTGCAGGGAAACCCTGTCTGAAAATGTAATTCTTAACCACAAAAATGCGACCTGGAGACGGGCGCGGGAACGCACAGAAAGTGAAAGAGGTTCTAAGGCAAAGGAAGAACACGCGCTTTTGCCTAAGAACTGTCCTCTGAGGAAGGAAAACTGTCGGGAAACTTCAAAACCCAGGTAGAAGGCGTGTGGAGGAAAGCGGGTGGGAAAGGGGCGTGTTCTTTCCCGGAGTACTAGCTGGGCCACCCCCGGGGTGTACTCCTAAAGGTGTATCGGCTCCCTCAGAGCCGCGGGGACTTGGGCTCCTTCTCCTCACCTGGGGCACGGAGAGTTCTCAGTCGCCCTTTACCTCGGGCCAGCGACCCCCACTGCGACGCCGGAGAACCTGAATCTGCAGCACGTCCAGGTCCCAGCCCGGGGGGAAACTTGCGGACGGACAGACTGGGCTCACGTCCGCCCCTGCAACCAAGGACTGGCTGCCTTTGGTTCCGCAGCTTCCAGTCCTGGCTCCTAAAGGGTCCTCAAGGCGCTGGGTTTTCCAAATGACGTTCCTAGGGGGAATAAACAAGGCCTCACCAATGCCGTGTTAAATTCACTTTTACTTTTTTTTTTTTAAGTGTCTGAGGCAACTTTACCTTTCCATTTTATCCTTACGTCTACTCCTATAGGTTTATTTTAAACTTATTAAATTTGTGTTCTAATAACACTGTGCAGTTAGTTATATAGTACTCCAATTTCTGAAAGGTGGGAATTTCTATCGCTTTAGCTCTACGTAAAGTTTTGATTCTTTTCTCCTTCATTCCCTTACAAAATGCTCCATTCTCTTATCCTCTTATAATCCCCTTGAAGTCTTGCCAAACTGAAGAGTAGCCAGCTGGCAGGCACAGCAATGGCATTGATTATGACCTCAAAATCTGTTTTAACAAAATATACAATTACTTAAGAATACAGACCTCATAATCAGAACATTGCTATATGACTAGTGAAATTAAAATTGGGTGTGGAAACACCTGAGGGCCTGATTACCCTGTACAATATGGGTATCCAAAAAAAAAAAAAAAAAAAGCCCAAATTTTAAATTTTCATTTACTTCATCAAAGATCAACGAAATTTTATAATAGCAAGGTAAGTATATTTTCCAACTAGATTAAGATACGATCTTAATGTCAATCTAAAAACTATTTCAAATGACTGATCTCTAAATTGACTTGTTTGTACAACTCAAGAAAAATATTTCCTTCAGTGATGTACTGAAACTTGTTTTCTCTCAATAAAATGAAAGGAACCATACCTATATCTCATGGGCTGTTTTGAGAACTAAATGATGTATCAAATGTAAAATTATTAATAAAATGCCTGAGATATTAAAAGTAAAGTACTATACAGTCAGCAATTACTTGAAATAAAGTAAAAAATCTTCTCAATTTTATTACCAAACCCAGCAAGCATACAAATAATTGTTCATTAGCTAAGATACATGTAGTAAACCAGAAATAGCTTTATTGATGTTCTAGCCAATGTTCAGAAACAATCATATAACATGCATGATATAAAATATGTAATACTCCTGGCTTTCAATGGGAAATAAATGTCTATAATGAGGGGGGATTTCCACACTTTGTTTTATTGTTAATACTCTGCCTTGGTGTGGTGTCATTTTTTTTAACACAATAATAGAGTCGTCAGAATATAAACTCCAAGAGGGCAGCGATTTTTTTTTACTATACCATGAATTACTGTGTCTCTAAAATCTACAATCTATATTTGCTAATAAACAAATAAAATAGTAATAGAAAGAAAAATGAAATTCAGATCATACTATTAAAAATATCCTAACAAATAGTTATCTTAGCAAACACATTTCTCATTTTTTCCAGTTTTTTACCCCCTCTTTTTAAAGTGTTCATTCTGAAATACTTGTAACCCGCGACTTTAAAAAAACCACTTCATCTAATAACTTAGCCAAAATCCTAAAGTGAATTTAATACTATCATTAAAGAATGTAAAAAGCAATCATATAACAAATCTTTTCAGTTAGCACTAAGGAGAGTAGGCCTGGGGTAGCGCAAAATGAACCCTCAGGCCTCAAAGCAAAAGACCAGAGACTTGCAATGAACTCAGCTGAAGAGACCCTAAAGGTCTGCTCAAGTGACTGTGGCTGTTAGCAGGTACCTACACCTTGCACAGAGAAGGGGCTTTGGAGGCCTCACTAATCCATGAAAAGGAGAAAATAAATACCCAGAATCCTACCCCCTTACCCCACACCCTACAGGCTCCGCCTCTCCTCCTGCCGAAGGCAGACGCCAACCCGGCCCGCCCGATCTCACTCACACCCTGAACCCTGGGACCGGGCCGGAGCCCGCGGAACTGGAGGGTGCCGGACGATCCCTAGGCAGCTGCCTCCCGCCGGCCGCTCCAGTCCAGCCCCGCCCACCTCTGCCACAGCCTCCGGAAATGACCGAGCGCGTTGCCACGGCGACGCACAACAAGGTCGCCTCCACCACGCGGAGCGGCTGAGCCTCCCGGCGCCAAGCTTCAGCGAGCCGGGCAACGTCCGACGTGATGACGTCACGAGGAACCCGCCAATGAAACGGGGCGCTGAGAAAGCTGGCTTGGGTTTGAATTTTGAGATTAAGTGTGAAGCGCCGGGAGGCGGACATTAAAGAGAAGTGGTCGCGGTGGCCTTTCTTGGGGCCTGAGGTGAGTGAGAGGCACGCGAGGAGAAAACTGCTTTCTAAAACGCTCTTTTTGGTAAATTGCCTCACTGGTACCGGAGGGTCTCGCCGCTTCAGGGCTGGAGGACCCGATGGGCTTGTTGACAAATGCGGAAGCATTGTGTGGCTGTCGGTTTGCGGAGGGAGCGTAGTCGGGATCCCTGAGGAGAAAGTGAAAGCCAGGAGGAACTGGAGAAGCAGCCCGGAGCAGGGCTCTGGCTGATCTCTCTCCACTACTCTGCAGGAAGGGCTGGGATCGCCTGCCTTCAATTTTGGAAGGAAGTTGGAAATTTTAAAGTGTGTCTTGGCCCCTTTCCCAGACTGTGGCAGAGAACTTTAAGTCTTCAGCACCTTGCAGTGTGGAGTGCCTTCCGGCATCGAAATTCAGAGTGTTTTGTGTCACGAGGAGTTGTTAAGTGTGTCTCTGGGTTTAGCTATCAGATGAGAAACTTTCGTCCATTGATTACCGCAGCAGTTTTTGTCCAGCAAGGTTCTGCTGTTAGCCTCGCCGTGGCCGCTCGGGGCCCGCCCGAACCCAGGTGTGTAGCATTGAGATCACTGTCTTGAGTGCCTAACGGGTCGCTGAGGATCAGAGGAGCTGTACAGCTTGGCCGGGTGCTCCGCACACAGGGGGACTGTAAGCGCCGGGCTTTCTACAGTCCATTGTTAGTTTCTTTAACAGTTCATTTGCCTCTCATTTACAACGAAACCAAGGCTGACCACTGCCTTCTCCTAAATGACATTATTTGGTCAGAACTAATTTATAACCTAATATAATTCAGGTTATAAACTATGGAACAATTCAAAGAATACATTAGACACTCCATAGGTTTTCACTGTCATTCTCACAGCATGCAGTTCTGCCACCTTGGGCTGTAGGGTGTTTTTTTTTTTTTTTTTAATGAATGTTATTGCTAAAGAATGAGTAACAAAGACTAAACGGTGTTGGTTATATCATTTGTGAGACCTGTCCATTTCAGTGAACAAGTTGATCTACCTTTAACACTAGTAATTAATCTCATGTAATGAATATGTATTTACGTGTACATAAAATTTCCATTTCGAAAGCGCCTGATCAATTAAGGTTTACAATAAAATGAATTTTGTGCTACTTATGAAAAGTAGGAGGAAAAATAGGTTGTCAATACTTCCCTCCATTTGAACTTTTCATACGTCTCTGAAGCTTGTAAATTATTGAAAGTGGTGCCTCTAACACTAAGGTTATTCCAAAGAGGTTTAAGATAGGAACTATATATAACACTGTCGAAAATAGTTCCCAGTCCTAAAAAATGTTTACGGAATATGAATCTAATTGAGATTTCAGTTTGTGTATAAGAAACAGGGCTGGCGCCGCGGCTCACTTGGCTAATCCTCCACCTGCAGCGCCAGTACCCCAGGTTCTAGTCCCGGTTGGGGCGGCGGGTACTAATCCCAGTTGCTCCTCTTCCAGTCCAGCTCTCTGCTGTGGCCCGGAAGGGCAACGGAGGATGGCCCAAGTCTTAGGGCCCCTGCACCCGCATGGGAGACCTGGAGGAAGTACCCGGCTCCTGGCTTCGGATCGGCGCAGCACCTGCGGTAGCAGCCTTTAGGGGAGTGAACCAATGGAAGGAAGACCTTTCTCTCTCTCTCTCTCTCTCTCACTGTCTAACTCTGCCAGGCAAAAAAAAAAAAAAAAAAGAAACAACCAGGGTCCAGGGTTGTGGCATAGAGGGTTAAGCTGCTGCCTGTGACACCTTGGTTGGAATCCCGGCTGCTTCACTTCTGATCCAGCTCCCTGCTAATGACCTGCAAAAGCAGCAGAAGATGACCCAAATGCTTGGACCCTTGTACCCACAAGGGAGACCTAGAGGAAGCTCCTGGCTCCACCAAGCCCCAGCAGTTGAGGCCATCTAGGGAATGAACCAGCAGAGACAGATGTCCCTCTGTCTGTAACTCTGACTTTCGAATAAACAAATCATTTAAAAAAAAATGCTATAAATTTCCTGGCATACATTTTCCTTTGGTTAATCCCTTTTTGGAAAAAGAAAAAATCATGACTGTACTGCTTTACTTGTGTATGATTGTGTAGAAGCATGCTCTCTGATTCCAGCAGAGCAAAGTTGGGAAGAGAGACTGGATTTAGACATAGGTCTAGTCTAGACTTAATTTTAAATACCAGCAATACAAAAGGATATAAAATAGGAATGCCTTTCATCTAGGCCTTCCTTCATGGACAGCTGGTGTTATTAGTGTGGACTGTTCCTTTGGAACAGTGCTTTAGGAACACTGAGAAAGTCAGTGTGGTTGAAGCAGAGTAACTAAGGGGTGGTGGGTTTGTGGGAAACAATAGAAGGAATCAGAGAAATAGATAGGGGCCAGATGTGGACTTCACAGATCATAGTAAGGAGTTTATTCTTATGGTAAGAAGTGATTAGAGAGTTTAGAGTAAGGGAGAGAAAAAAGTGATGTGCTTACTTTTGAAAAGAGTACCTAAATATAACGAATAAAATAAAATTCATTATTGCACTTGAATACGATTGGAAGTGAATCTTTAACTTTATCAGCTTATCTCTCGGCTGAGAAATAGCTTATAAATTAAGGATTTGCCTGCCTGTCCAACTGAGTTTATATTGCACTACAACTATTGAAGAGAATTAGGTTTTTCACACCTTAAACATTGCAGAGGAATGAGCTAAAAAATAAAACATAATCTTCCTATTTCTTCAATTTTTTAAACAAGAAATTGGACACATTATTTGACCTTTTTTTGATGCCTCCGGGTCCTCATTGTGGTTTCCTGTTATCATTCATGATACTCTACTATAGTGTTTCTCTTAAAAAGATATTCTCTTTGCCTTTACTCTGAGTGCATTGCTTTTAAGATTCTATATAGTTTATTAAGCAAGTTGTTCCTCGTATTTTTGAGAGTTCACTGTATATCAGACTCACTACAAGAAACTAAGGCTATAAAGTAAAAATAGACAGTCTTATTAATATCATTTATTATTTTCTTGTACTTTTCTCTTTTTTTATACAGAAAAGGACCTTAGACAGCATATACACTAACCCCCTCATTTTATATTAGCAGTGGAAGCCATTTCATCAGCCCCCTTCATTAATTTTTATTCTTCACTTTCCAAGTTAGATCTTCTTCAGTAATTATGAACATCGGTGTATTAAGTATTTATCCTTCATGTTTTACCCCACCAGTAAAATCCTACCAGTTTTACGCTTTGATTCTATTCAAAACCATAAACCATTTAGGATTAGATAACACAAAATTGATCAGAGGCTGTTATATATGTGTGTGTTTATATATATATATATATATATATATTCTGAACTTTTGTCTGGAAATAATATGCAAATCAACACATTATTGCACAGATAATTTTGAGGCTTTTCTTTTCTGCTTCATATTAAACATGATCAAAGAATTTGTTCTCTGTATGCCTAATTCAGAATCAATTAAATGGACATCTCTTTTATTCAACTATGTTAGAAAAAAAGAGGGGGAGGGTGCACCATATATTACAGTAGGAAAAATCTGATTAATCTTGGAAGATGTTATTACATTTGAACATAGACAGATTCTACATTTGAATGATTCTGTTGACATTAGGCATTTAAAAATCATGTCCAGGCCTGTGTGGCGGCTCACTAGGTAATCCTCCACCTTGCGACGCCGGCACACCGGGTTCTAGTTCCGGTCGGGGCGCCGGATTCTGTCCTGGTTGCCCCTCTTCCAGGCCAGCTCTCTGCTGTGGCCAGGGAGTGCAGTGGAGGATGACCCAACTGCTTGGGCCCTGCACCCCATGGGAGACCAGGATGAGCACCTGCTCCTGCCATCGGATCAGCGCGCAGGCCGCAGCAGCCATTGGAGGGAGAACCAACAGCAAAAGGAAGACCTTTCTCTCTGTCTCTCTCACTGTCCACTCTGCCTGTCCAAAAAAAAAAAAAAATGTCCACTTTATTTTTCCAGTGGATAGTCCTTAAGGATTTTTCTTAGTCCTTAAGAATTAAAATTCTTAAAGGAGCTTTCATGGAGGTGTCAGAGCAGCACCAGCAAGTAGTAGTGTTAATTCCTTTGGGGCTTCACAAGTTGGATTCCTAACTACCTTGCTGTAAATGCCACAGATCACACAATAATTAAGCTTCATGTATAGCTTCAGAAGTACGGTCATTGAAGACACTCGCTTTAGAAAGAACCCTGATGATTAGAGCCTCAACTGTATTTCAAATGATAAAATTCTTCAGAATGCCTCTAGAATCTGGCCTCTTTCTATCTCTGCTGCCACCACCCTGTTTTGAGCTGACACTGTCATCTCATGTCATGTCTACATTGCTAGTCTCTCCTCTGACACAGCATTAAGAGTGATGGATTGTAACTCTTATGCTCAAAACCTTTCAAAAGTCCATTATTCACAGTACAAGCCAAGGTTCTTTTCATGGCTTTCACTTTTCATCGAGTATCTTTACTACTCTTCCTTTTGTTCACCGATCTTTCCAGTAGTTATGCTCTGTTGGAAAGTCATTGACTTTCTGCCATGCTAGTGGGAGATTGCATTATGTTTCCAGTTCCTGTCAACTTTGGCCCTAACCCAGTCCAGGCCATTGCAGGGACTTAGGGAGTGAACCAGTGAATGGGAATTCTCTCTCCCTCCCTCCCTGTCCCTCTATCTCTTTTACTCAAATAAATACATATAATTTTTAAATTCTACTTTCTTAGCAATTTTGAAGCACAATATTTTATTAACTATAGTCATGCTGTGCAACAGATTACCAGAATTTTTCATCTTCTCAAACTAAAACTTTGTACCCTTTTGATTAACCTTGCACCTTTCTCCACACATCCTACGCCTACCCCCACCCCTAGCCTCTGGTAATCATCATTCAACTGTAATTCTGAGTTCAAATTTTAAAGATTCTATATGTAAGTGAGATCATACAATTTTTGTTTTTCTGTGCTTGGTTTAACTCACTTGAGATAATATCCTCTATATTCATCCATGTTTGTCACAAATAACAGAATTCCATTCTTTTGTAAGGCTGAATAGTACTCCACTTTGTTTATATACCCCAATTTACCATAGCCACTCATCTATTGGTAGGCACTTAAGTGTTTCCACATCTTGGTTATTTTGACTGGTATTGCAGTGAACATCAGAGTTAAGACAGCTCTTCAATATTACTGGTTTTTGTTCCTTTGGATATATTCCCAGAAGTGGGATTAATAGATTGCATTTAGTCCCTCGACAACTTCAAGTCTTTTCTCAAATGTTGTTTTGGTGTTTATTTGTTATAACTTTCAGGTTCTAGATTAATATCTGAATAATTGAGACTTCCAAATTATTGATCTTTGTTAGTTTACCTTTAATCTTTTCATGTGAGGTAGTTAGAAGGTCAAACCACAATTTTTTATGTCCATTATCATTAGCAAGCAGAGATTAGGATCTATGAATGTACCAAAGAGTATATACCATCTCTGTCAATCTCACACCTTAGCTAGCTACTTGATGCATCCTTGGAACTATTTTTAACCCGATGAGATTCTGAGATAATGTTAAGATCAACTGGATGCATCACTTTTCTCTACCAAGAGTTCTGCAACCACGATCGCTTTACTAAAAATAGCTCACAAGCTAAAGCTCTCTCGGCATTTGCTTGATATGATTCTGAATGATCCTTTGCTTTCCATTCTCAGGACCCAAGCTAAAATAGTAGTAGACCTCTTGTGAATGTCAGAGCTGGGATTTGTGGGTAGCATAACTGATTACATGAGGTTCATCCATAGTATTTGAGTTTAATCTGAAGCCCAGGATCTGACTAATAATTCAGATGAAGAGGGTTTTTTTCTTGGTTTTGTGTACATGTGTGCCATTTAACTTTTTGTTTGAGGATATGTAAATGCATGTATTTTTTTTCTCCCCAGTAACATTTACTAGGTGAGTAGAACAGAATTGATACCTTTTTCAAATGAATACTACACAATAGTATATTGTATTCAAATGAATGAATTGTATTCAAATGAATGTATTCAAATGAATACAATAAGTAGAACTAATAATAAAACTTTTTTTTAATTTTAGAGAAAGATCTAGGTATAGTCAGAAATCAAGATAATCAACAATGTCTGCCACTGAAGAAGACCTGTGTCACCACATGAAAGTAGTTGTTCGTGTACGTCCTGAAAACACAAAGGAAAAGGCAGCTGGATTCCGTAAAGTGGTCCATGTCGTGGATAAACATATACTACTTTTTGATCCCAAACAAGAAGAAATCAGTTTTTTTCATAAAAAGAAAACTACAAATTTTGATATTACAAAGAGACAAAATAAAGATCTTAAATTTGTATTTGATACTGTTTTTGATGAAACTTCAACTCAATTGGAAGTTTTTGAACAAACAACTAAGCCAATTCTTCGTAGTTTTTTGAATGGATATAATTGCACAGGTAATTGTTTCAGTTTGGCATTCAATTTCTCCATTTGGATTGCAGTTTTATATAGGAAAATCATATAGTTGGCCCTTATTAAGATGCTTCTGTGGTAAAGTTCAGCAGACAAATGACAAAATAGACTTTCTTTAAAATTTTGCCATTGTATATAACATATATCAATTGTGAGACTTTGTTTCCTATGGTCTCATTGTGTCCCCTATAGATTTAATCCTTTCTGTTTCCTATATTATTAAACCACATATTTCTGGCAGTTTACAGTGGAGTTCTCAAAATTTGTATTCCTAAATATACCCACTGCTGACCTCTACAATTATCTATCTCTGGGGTAGTAGTCCTGGTTTTCTGAATACTTAGTAATATCATTGCAACACTGTTTATCTTGATGATATATTGAAATAAAAATATTAAAAGTTCATCTTATCTGAATATTTTGTGCCATTTTAGGATATCAGAGCCCAAAAAGTCTAATGCTTTGGAGAGGCTATAGTAATTTTCCTTTCAAATTACTGTTGATCCTAGAATAAATGAGACCCTTAATAGTCAGTTAATTCAATTTATACATTTTAGGAAATGCATGGCTGTTATGTTATTAATATCATATTTTCATAGTTAAAAGTTTGTATAACATTTCTCCAAGACACCCCTCAAAGACAGTGGTATAGAAAAGGAGCAGCAAATGCTGAAAACATTGAATCTAATACATCTAGAAATAAGAAATAAACCTGGAAAAATAAACAAGCACCTTCCCTTAGAGTGATTTATCATTTTTCCAAGGTGGGGAATTTGAATTTCTCATGTAGGAATATGAGACTAAATGGAAAGTTTAACATAATTGGATCCCATTTTGCTGAAGATGATTTTAGTATGAATCCCAAGGGATGGATAATAGAAGACTGAGACTAATAAGTAGGGAGATCCATGATTGGTTAAAATTTACAAGACTACTTTGGAAGAAAGGGCACAAGTTTGGAGTAGGAGGTGCTGGGTGATGGTAGCATTAATCACAATGGAATATGGGTGTAAGAGATTTGTGCTAGAATTCCCAGGTTTTGAGCATTAATCAAATTTGGATCTGTTAGGTTTAAAGTTACTGTAAAGAATATCCAGATGGAACTATCCACTTGTCAGTGCATAGGAGAGTGTTACATGTCATAACAAAGAGCTTTGATTCCTTTTCATAAAAATTCAGTACTTGCCTATGGGGCCACTGGAGCTGGGAAGACCCACACAATGCTAGGATCAGTTGGTGAACCTGGAGTGATGTACCTAACGATGTTAGACCTTTACAAATCCATGGATGAAATTAAAGAAGAGAAAGTATGCAGTACTGCAGTCTCTTATCTGGAGGTAAGCTGGCAGTTTCATTCGTTTAAATTAATAGTTTTGAGAAATCTTTGTTATGGTTCATTAAAACTATTTTATTGCACAAGAGTTTTCAATATATAAATTCATTAAAATTCCTGGTCTGGAGTATTTATTGTACATTTTTTTAGGGTTAATTTTTTATGGGGCCGACGCTGTGGCTCACTTTGTTAATCCTCTGCCTGCGGCGCTGGCATCCCATATGGGCGCCGGGTTCTAGTCCCGGTTGCTCCTCTTTCAGTCCAGCTCTCTGCTGTGGCCCAGGAAGGCAGTGGAGGATGGCCCAGGTGCTTGGGCCTCTGCATCCACATAGGAGACCAGGGGGAAGCACCTGGCTCCTGGCTTCGGATCGCCGGCCATGGCGGCCATTTGTTGTTGTTTTTTTTTTTTTTTTTTTTTTTGGACAGGCAGAGTTAGACAGTGAGAGAGAGAGACAGAGAGAAAGGTCTTCCTTCCGTTGGTTCACCCCCAAATGGCCACTACGGCTGTTGCTGCGCCAATCCGAAGCCAGGAGCCAGGTGCTTCCTCCTGGTCTCCATGCAGGTGCAGGACCCAAGCACATGGGCCATCCTCCACTGCCTTCCCGTGCCACATCAGAGAGCTGGACTGGAAGAGGAGCAACTGGGACAGAACCCAGCACCCCAACCGGGACTAGAACCCAGAGTGCCGGCGCCACAGGCGGAAGATTAGCCTAGTGAGCCGCGGCACCGGCCAATGGCCATTTGGGGAGTAAACCAACAGAAGGAAGACCTTTCTCTCTGTCTCTCTCACTGTCTATAACTCTACCTGTCAAATAAAAAAAAATCGTGTTTAAAAAAAAGATTAATTTTTTATTTATTTGAAAGACAGAGTTACAGAGAGATCTTCCATCTGCTGGTTCACTCCCCAAATGGCTGCAACGGCTGAGACTGGGCCAGGCTGAAGCCAGGAGTCTGGAACTTCTTCCAGGTCTCCCACATGGTGCAGCGGCCCAAGTACTTGGCCTATCTTATGCTGCTTTCTCAGGAGCATTAGTGGGAAGCTGGATCAGAAGTGGATCCTCCTGGACTCAAACCAGCGCTAATAGCACCACCACGCCACAGTGCTGGCCCCATTTTACTCTTTGTCTAATAAGCTTTTTGTTTTCCCATATCTCACGTACAGAGAAGTTCAACTAGTACAAAAAATTTCCAGTTACCTTTCACCCAGATCCTCCATTTGTTAACATTTTACTGCATTTGCTTTCTCTCTTTGGATATAAGTATATGTAATTCTTTTTTCAGAGCTGTTTAAGTTGCATACTTGTTGTATAAACAGGAAGTTTTCTCAGACAACTCCTGAATAATTATCAAATTAGCAAGGATCCAACATTATTATATAACTATAGACCCTAAAGAGATTTTGCTAGCACTTCTGATAAAGCTCTTTACTGGAAAAGAAGGTCCAAGGTAGCAAATTATATTCAGTTGTTTCTCTTTAGCCTCCTTACTCTGATGCTGTCATATAATCCTCAGTTTGGGTTTGTCATGATTAAATTCAGGTTATACATTGGCAGGAACACTACAGAAGTTATATTGATTCTTACGGCATCATACTAAGAGGCTTATGTGGTTGATTGATCCCATTACTGTTTTGACATCAAGCAGTTCTTTTTCTATTAAGGTATATAATGAACAGATCCGTGACCTCTTAGTAAATTCAGGGCCACTTGCTGTCCGGGAAGATGCTCAAAAAGGCGTGGTCGTTCAAGGACTGACTTTACACCAGGTATGTGGATTAAAGTCTTTTTCTCATTGGAGAATAACAAGTTTGGTTATTTAGCCATCTTTACCAGCATTTTATTTTCCAGCCAACTTGGAAAAGATCAGGGACTAGCTTTCATCATTTTAATTTTTTAAGTAATTGAGTCATCTTTAAAAAATCTGCTTCAAAGTAAGAAAGTTAACCTCGTAGTTAAGAGATTGCTTCTCACATTGGAGTACCTGGGTCTGATTCTTGGCTGCAGCTTCTGATTCTACCTTCCTGCCAGTGCAGACACTAAGAAGTAGCCATGATGGCTCATGTGCTTGGGTCTCTCCAACCCGTGTGGAAGATGTGTATTGAGCTCCCAATTTGACTTGGCCCCAATCCAGTCCTAGGCATTGTGGGCATTTGGGGAGTGATACCTGTCAAATAAATTAATTACAAACAAAATCTCACTCCCACATACCATATTCAAGTGCCTGGTTCAAGCCCTGAATCTACTTCCAATCCAGCTTCCTGCTAATGTGTGCCAGTAAGGCACTAGATGATGGCTCAAGTACTTGGGTCCCTGAAATCCATGTGGGAGACCTGGATTCAGCACCTGGCTTCAGCAAGGCACAACCCTGGCTGTTGGGGGTTTTGGAAAGTGAATCAACAGATAGAAGATCTGTCTACCTAAAAAGAAAAAAAAAAAGGAAATAAATGAAACTTTTAAGACCTGCTTGAGCATTTAATATAATTCATTCTGCTTAATGCATTTATATTTCATCTCCTTGGAGACTACATTTTATCTTTTATTACTCATATAACACAAAAATACCAAGTAGATCCTCCAAACTGACTATTCAATAGTATTGAATATATAGAGAACATTTTCTTTTAGAGGTCTTCTTTAGGTGGACATTTTGTACAGCAGATAAGATTGCACTCTGGATACTCACATCCCATACCAGAGTACCTTCGTTTGAATCCCAGTTCTACTCCTTATGAGCAACCTGGGAGGAAGCAGGTAACTGCTCAAGGAGCTGGATTCCTGTGAAAGACCCACATGGAGTTCTTGGCTGTGACTCCTGACTTCTGGCTGGCCTAACCCTGGCTGTTGTGGGCATTTAGGGAGTGAACCAGAAAATGAAAGATAGCTTTATCTCTTCTCTCTTCTCTGCCTTTCAGATAAATAGATAAATTTGTAAAAATAATGAAAATCATGTTGTTGAAAGTTTATTGAAAAATTCAAAGCTAGAATCCCAATTTCTGTATTTGTCTTCTTAATCTTCTCTAGCCCAAATCCTCAGCAGAAATTTTACAATTATTGGATAATGGCAACAAAAACAGGACACAACATCCCACTGATTTGAATGCTACATCTTCTCGTTCTCATGCTGTTTTCCAGGTAACAGACCACTAGATATGTCACTCTTAAAATATGCTTTAAAATAAATGAAACCAAGTGCATAGATAGTAATTTTCAAACATGAGAAAAAATAATCTTCATCTATGTACATGTCTACTTCTTTCCTTTGCTGCTTTGAGAAGATTGTGTAACCAAAATTATTTAGGGTTGAGATAACATAAAGCAAAATTGTAAATTCTTACCTTTGTCAAGATGCAAGATGATAAAATGCTTATGTTAGAAGATTTTTTTGTTTCAATACTAATATTTAAATTTGTAATTAATATTTAAATTATAATTTAAATACTAATATTTTCAGTAGATATTTTTATATAATAATGAGATTTCTCTCTGTGAATCAAGATTGCTAGAATCAATAAATTGAAAAGATGTTGATTCACTTTTTTGAAAAGATTTCACTATAACGACCATGTAAGTAGTTGTATTCCTTAAGGAAGTATGATTCAGTTGACACTGTACTTTTTAGGACTATAGTCCTGGAAAGAGCTAAAGCATAAGTTAGTTGATATTAGTTTATACTTTCTGTTCCTTTTAATATTGAAATGATTATTATTTAAAGCTTCTTTCTGGATTATGCTATTTGAATTGCATCTTCTGAAAAGGAAATTATTGCATTTTCAGTCAGCAAAATTTCATTAATGTTCTCCTTAATCTATTAATAATCTTAAGAAAAATGTTGATTTGTGACATTGAAATATCTCTGTGCCGGGGAGTCCTGGCACCAGAATTGTGAGAGGCATGGGTGAGCGCGGCGAGTGGTGGGCTGGAGCCTCCCCGGGACCTGCACCCTCACGAGTCTCCAGGCAGGGGACCAGCAACGCCAGAGGTGGTCAGGTGGAGGCGGTGGCAGGGCCCTAGTCAGCCGCCCTTGTGGGGATTTTTTTAACTGTACATCTCTGTTAGATCGTGTGCTCGGTGCCCCGACCCGGCTCTGCAGGACAGCTGCCCGGGAGCTGCTGCTGGCCTCTCCCGCCCCCAGGCCCAGGCTCAATTGCTGGGCTCTGGCCCCTCTGTGGTGTATGTGTCCCTGCCGACTCCGGTTCACTCTGGATGCAGGATGTTCTAGAATGTTCTCTGTTCTTAATGTTCAAAGACATTAGTTATAAAATGAAGTCTTATAACGCAGAAAAAAAAAAGAAATATCTCTGAAAAGTGTTGGACCCTCCTTCATAAAGAAATTTAATAAGATTTTATAATGGAATAATAGCTTACCTTCTTAATCTCATATTTTTAAGTTTACCAGCTATTTAATTCATTTAAACTGCTACAAAGTAGTTGAATATATTATGCTTTATTCTACTGTAGAGTTGAAATGGCAAATACACTTTACTACTACCTTTTTTAAATATAATGACTTCTTAATTAAGGAAACACAACCATTGAAGGGATTAGAATAACTTCACTCTTCAGTTTGGGTGAACATTCAAATCAGCTTTCTCTAGGGCACAGTTCCTGGAGCCATTCAAAGCATGCTGATCACTACCTTTTGCTTTCTCTTAGAAATATTATTTCTTTTGGACCTATCTCCCTTACCATCACCTTTAATATTTCCATGTTTTGGTTCAAAAAATACAAATAGCAGTCACTTTGACTTTTTAACAGGTCAAGAGTTATTTTTCCCGCTGGTACAAGTATAAGAAATCTTTCTATTTTAATATTTTTCTCAACTTTGGTTAATATTTCTAATACTCAAATATTAGATTATATTTTGTTCAGTTGATTTTTAAAATAAAAATTTCTATTTCATAATCTTTTGGAAATAAAGTGTTAATTGTTCTTTTAATTTTGTTAAACTTATTCTCATTTTTCTTCAATGCCCTGTAATTTCAAAAAGATTTATTTGCGACAACAAGACAAGACAGCAAGCATCAGTCAAAATGTTCGTATTGCCAAGATGTCATTAATTGACCTGGCAGGATCTGAGCGTGCCAGTGCTACCAGTGCTAAAGGGACCCGGTTTGTAGAAGGCACAAATATTAATAGGTCACTTCTGGCTCTTGGGAATGTCATTAATGCCTTAGCAGACACAAAGGTATGCACTCTGTTTCTTTGTGAAATATTTTGAAATATTAAAATATACCACTCATGGAAAGATACTACTTTATATGATTTTAAAAGTTATTATAAATCATAATTCAAGGGCATATCAGTCATGTTTATATACAGATCAGACCAGGAAACCCTTGTTTTTATATTTCTTAGGATTTTCAATCTTATAATCAAAATTGAATGAAAAGTAGTGAATATCAAATTAATAATTAGCATTTTATAGTATATTATTATCACTTATTTTAAACTTGGTGGGAGTTTTTTGTTATTGTTTTAAGATATATTTATTCGAAAGGTGAAGCTATAGAGAAAATGGAGAGAGAGAGAGAGAGCTTCTGTCCTCCGGTTAACTCCTCAAATAGCTGCAACAGCCAGTACTGGGCCAGGCCTAAGTCAAGAATCAAGAACTCCAGCCTGGTCTCCCACGTGAGCGGCAGGGGCCCAGGTATTTGGGCCGTCTTCCATTGCCTTCCCAGGCACACTAGCAGATCGTTGAATTGGAAACAGAGTAGCCAGAATGCCAAACAACACTCTAATATAGGAATCTGGCATCACAGACTGTGCCTTAATATACTGCACCACAATGCCGACCCTTAACCTTGTTGTTTAAAGTGCTAATTTAATGACCAAGCTCAATAACTGAATTGGCATGAAGGCAAAAACATTTTTAGAAAAACTGGATTTTCTTCTAGTTAGTTGTGCACTTTGAAATTAGATTAAAGAGTGTTTGATTTTTTTGTGGAAGAGGAGCTTAAGAGGCAGAATGTTATGAAATCACTTAATAGAATATTTAATAGGTGCTTTGGAGGCATATCAAAATATTTTACATGTATTATATTTCTGAAGTGCTCACTAAAACACAGTGTCATTGTAAAAATAACATCCTTTTTTTTTTTTTTTTTTTTTTCAAAAAAAAAAAAGATTTATTTTATTTATTTGAAAGGTAGAGTTTCAGAGAGAGAAAGGTCTTCCATCCACTGGTTCTCTCCCCAAGTAGTTGCAACAACTGGGGCTGGACCAGGCCAAAGGCAGGAGCCAGGAACTTCTTCCAGGTCTCTCACATGGGTACAGGGACCCAAGGACTTGGGCCCCAGCTGCATTAGCAGGGAGCTAGAGTAGAACTGGAGCAGTCAGGATGTGAACCGGTGGCTGTATGGGATGCCTACGCTGCAGGCCTAGGCATTAACTTGCTGTGCCACAGCAGCACGGGCCCAATATCCTTTTTTAAAAGTTAAAATATGGGGGCCGGTGCTGTGGCATAGGCGGTAAAGCTGCCTCCTGCAGTGCTGACGTCTGATGTAGGCACCAGTTTGAGACCTGGCTGCTCCACTTCAGGTCCAGCTCTCTGTTATGGCCTAGAAAGCAGTGGGGATGGCCCAAATCCTTGGACCCTTGCACCAGCATGGGAGACCCGGAAGAAGCTCCTGGCTCCTGGCTTTAAATTGGCCCAGCTCCAGCCATTGCGGCCATTTGAGGAGTGGACCAGCGGATGGAAGACCTCTCTCTCTCTCTCTCTCTCTGCCTCTGCCTCTGCCTCTCTGGAACTCCGCCTTTCAAATAAATAACTAAATCTTAAAAAAGTTAAAATATGATCAGATAAACTAGGCTTAAAAGCTTTAAGGCAGTTACCGCTAAACAGTTCAAAATATATAATTTCATTTAGAATAAAGTATATTAAAATTATTGGAAGAATATTTTAGAGCAGGTTGCTGAATTCAAATGAAAATTGTAAAAGTAAGTTTTTCTTTTTTAATTCAAACTTAAGTTTCAAACTGACAGCATAATGTAAGAACTGATTTTGTAAACTTTTTTGTTGTTTTCTAAATGCAAATCATTTATATGATTTTTGCCATAAATGAGTCATGATTTAATGCATGTATTGTGCGTATAAAATCATTTCATTAGCATATACTTTCCATGCTATTTGGGAAAACCTATATGGTAGAAGGCATTGGTAGAAAATTTTATTATTACTGTGATTTGGGGAACCTAGGATGTATTTCTGTCCCTGAATTACAAGCTGTATGACCTGAGGCAAGTCATTTTACTTTTTGCCTATCTTCAGTTTCTGCTTCTATATTTTGAAAGATAGAAATAGGTAACACAAAGTTACTTTTAGCTTAACACTGTAATGAATATTTTTGTATTGAAGTTGTGTGTTTTGGGAAATAGTTGTTTCAAAATCAGAGCTTTAAATAAGTTTTGAAAATTTTGTTAATAGTACATATTTTGTATTTATGGGCTACAGTATATTTCAATAAATGTTACATTGTGTACTGATCAAAACAGTATAATCAACGTTTCCCTTCTTTAATGTTATTTTATGATTACAAGTTTGGTGCTTCTTCTATTTGTTCATGCAGTATATTATTATTGTGAACTATAGTTTCCTAACTGTTGTAATTTTGACAAATTCTCATAGAACTCTATTGTAATTCCAGGTAAAATATCTCTAATGCCATAAACAATATATATTTCTAATTTTATTTACTTATTTGAGATGTAGAGTTACAGAAAGGGGGAGAGACAGAGAGAAAGGTCTTCCATCCACTGGTTCACATGGCCACAATGGCCAAAGCTGGGCCAATTCAGAGCCAGGATCTTCTTCAGGTCTCCCACGTGAATGTAAGGTCCCAAATACTTGGGCCATCTTTCACTGCTTTCCCAGGCCATAAGCAGAGAGCTGGATTGGAAGTAGAGCAGCTGCAACATGAACCAGTGCTCATATGGGATGCCGGCAGTACAGGCAGAGGCATCCCATATGAGATGCCGGTGCCACAAGGCAGAGGCTTACCCTGCTATGCCACAGCATCAGTCCCTATAATTATATTTTCAGATCATTTTAGATTACACAAAAATTGTTAAATATGCCCATCCAGTACCCTGTTAACTTTTCACATTAGTATAGTACATTAAAACTAATAAGCCAGTATTGATACATTATCTTATTATGAATTAAAGTTCATACTTAGTCAAATTAAGAAACAATTTTTGAAGAGCATACTTGTTTTATATATCCACTGAATAATCCTGTAAGATTTGTTATTAACATTTTAATAATTATATCATAAGCCTGCAAAGTTGGACAGTGCTTAAGTTCTTATAGTGAAGTGGTAGCAAGTTTGTTTTTAAATGTGGAAAATGACATAAGAATTCTTTTTCTGTTCTTTCAGAGAAAGAATCAGCATATTCCTTACAGAAATAGTAAGCTTACTCGCTTGTTAAAGGATTCTCTCGGAGGAAACTGTCAAACTATAATGATAGCTGCTGTTAGTCCTTCCTCTTTATTCTATGATGACACATACAACACTCTTAAGTATGCTAACCGTGCAAAGGACATTAAATCTTCTGTAAGTATGTTTACTTTGCCTTTATTTTGAGACTGTTGAGTGTATATTGTTTTTATAATTCTAATGAAATTCTTAGTTGAGATTGTGTTTCTACTAAGCTGGACAACTGAGGGTGAAAAGCAATCTTTACTAACAGTTAATTGTACATTAATTTAAACATTTAAACAATTAAACTTCTTTATTCTATATGATAGATACAGCTGTTAAGTCTTTTGAGAACTCAGATGCTTTGGTTCCTTTTTCCCAACTTTTTTCATATTATGGCACGTGGTATTTTGGTGGCATCCTAGAGTAATCAGTCAAAGCTTTAACACATATGTAATAGCCAAACCTGATATATTCTACAACAGCAGGACTTGGTACTTTTTACCTGACTTCCCGGCACCTGTTAGTTAATCTCTCCAAACCTTAGTTCCTTTAGCTATAAAACAGAATATGTGCCTCAGTTTTTCTATATAATTTTAAAATTTGTTTTTATTTGAAAAGCATAGCGAGATACAGTGACTGAGAGAGAGAGAGAGAGCTTCTATCCATTTGTTTGCCCCTATATGCCTACAAGAGGCTGTTCTGGACAACATTGAAACCAGGAGCCCAGATCTCACATTCTAGGTCTTCTACATAGGTAGCAGGGACCCAACTACTTGAACCATCAACTCTTGCCTCCCAGGGTTGTAATTTTGACAAATTCTCATAGAACTCTATTGTAATTCCAGGTAAAATATCTCCCATGATGTTGCTATAGCAATCTCTATTTGGCCCCTGAAATAACATCATAATTAAAAATGTCACTATTCTTAAGAAAGGTATAGAGTACTTTAGGTTTTTAGCCTAGCAGTTAAGATACCAGAATCACAAATCCAAGTGCCTGAGTTCAGTTCCTGGCCCGTGGATCCCAACTCCAGCTTCCCGCTGATGCAGATTACTGGGTAACAGTAATGCCACCCTCATGGAAGGTCTGGATTGAGTTCCCAAAACCTGGCTCTGGCCCTACCCATTGTCAGGAAGTTCTCCATATCTCTGTCTCATCTTTCTCTCTGTTCACCATCTCTCTCTCTCCATCTCTCTATCTCATCTGCCCCTACCCCAATCATGAATAACAGATTTTTTAAAATAAAAAATGTAAGTCAAAACATGTTATGTGTATAAATCTCAGGATTGGGAAAGACCTAGAATTAAACTGATAAAATGATGACTCTTTCCTTTACTCTCCTCTGCTCCCATTAAATGTGTCTGAAGATGAGTTGTTTGTTGTCATTCTGAAAAGAATATTCATATACTATTTATGTAATTAATTGCAAAAGGTTGTACTGTGTGGGTATATAAAGGTTTTTCACACGTTTTTCATGTAATCCTTGCTGCAACCATTGAAGAAGACATTTTTATCTTCACTTTAATATTATCTTCACTATTCCATAGATGATGCCAAGGGTCTTACACTCTTATAAAAAGGATAAAATATAAAAGGAACTCACTAAAAAGTAGTTCAACTCATGAATGGTTGAAACATAAAATTATCTCTGAGTTTCTTTGAAAGTAGGTAATTTTTATCATGTTGTAAATGAATGCTTAAAAGTGCCTTTTCTCAGTAAGGCAATTTCTTTATAATTTCCTTTACTTTATTAATGTGCTAAGCCTATCTTCTTGTCCTAAGTTTTAAACATGAACGTAACCGATGGTTGTCACATAATCATAATGTCATCAGTTCTGAACACATAGGACAAATAATGAAGATACAGTGTCATTTTGTTCATGTTTATAACTATGTGATTATCTGTATAAACAAAATCATAATTTCTATCTTTTAACAGTTGAAGAGCAATGTTCTTAACCTGGATAATCATATTTCTCAATATGTAAAGATATGTAATGAGCAGAAGGCAGAGGTATGTCTACTGTTTAAATTGTTAGGCTGATCTCCCTTAGTTCCTCTTTTATAAGATTCTGTAATCCTAACTGTCCCCATATTTAACATTTTCCTATTACAATTGAAATTTGATTTCTCCAGTTATTTTTCACAACTAGAAATTTTCCTGTGGCCATGTTAGAGACAAATAACTTGTATTTTAACTAGTATTTTCTTTCTATTAGATTTTAATGTTAAAAGAAAAGCTAAAAGCTTATGAAGAACAGAAAGCCTTTACTGATGAAAATGGCAAAGCAAAGTTAATGACTTCAAAGCCTGAGGAAAAAGAATTTGAAAGGTAAAAGTGACATTAAAAATCTCATTTTAAGGAATGTATTGTTTCATAATATAATCAGATATTTTATATTAATCATCATTTGTTATATGTCACACACTCAACTAACTGAATTCAGGAAATCACTGATGGCTTTTCATTTTGTACAGTTTGGAGATCAGATCATTTTAGTTATGATTTTATGGATGGGAAGGAGAACCAGGACTTAGGCAAAATGAATAGAAAATAAAGCTAATTATGTCATTTGTGAAGTTACATTTTTAGTTATATTTTTCTTCTCTGTTACCAGCATTCTGTAATTCATGTAAATTTGCTCTGTTTTGTTGACCATATATACCTCTAATAGCCCTCTTATGGTGTTTAAGTGGATAATTATGTAACTAGACATCTCTCAGTGAAATAAATTGATAGAGAATTGTGGTAGGTTCCAAATAAGCTTTCCAGCAGGTAAATAAAAACAAGCCAGTTAATAATTTAGTAGTCAAAAGTACTTTTTTCCCAAGCAGTTATCACAGTTTTCCAAAGTGACCCATTGGGACACTGAATCAGAAATGTTAAGCTTAGTAGGTTTAAAAATGCAGTAAGGAATTCCTGGATCAAACAAATTTTGGGAGTACACTTGTTCCTTGGTATCTTCCTGGAATTGGTTCCAGGAACCCCTGTGAATACCAAAATCTGTTGATGCTCAAATCCCTTATATAAAATGGTGCAGTATTTGCATATGACCTACACCTACCCTCCTGTATACAATTTAGTCATGTCTAGATTATTTATGTTGCCAAATACTAAGTAAATATTAAATAAATATTAAATATAATATAAATATTATATATTATATAAATATTATATAAATATTTGTTGTCAAATACTAAGTAAATATTATATAAATATTTGTTATACTTTATTATTTAGGGAATAATGACAGGGGAAGTCTGTATAGAAACAGAGGAGATAGTTTTGTGAATCTACAATTTATTGAATAGAGAGCTTATATACAGAAGGCCTGTGTCCTCCATACAGAGAAATAATCTGAGAAATTCCCAAAGTATAATCCACATGTTAAAGGCTCTGAGATGGGCCGGCGCCATGGCTCACTTGGCTAATCCTCTATCTGCAGCGCCAGCATCCCATATGGGCATAGGGTTCTAGTCCCGGTTGCTCCTCTTCCAGTCTAGCTCTCTGGGCCGGGGAAGGCAGTAGAGGATGGCCCAAGTGCTTGGGCACCTGCACCCACGTAAGAGACCAGGAAGAAGCAGCTGGCTCCTGGCTTTGGCCGTAGCGGCCATTTGGGGGGTGAACCAACGTAAGGAAGACCTTTCTCTCTGTCTCTCTCTCTCTCTCTCTCTCTATCTCTGTCAAATAAATAAATAAATACATAAATAAATAAATACATAAAAAACATGGGGGGAAAAAAGGCTCTAAGATACCCGTTCAGCTTTGATTATAGTGGAATTAAGTTAAACTTACTTGACGTTCATTCTCCAGTGCCAGTTGTCTCCTACTAGTATGAGAAACCAACCACATTTCATACTGTTTTGAAATTTATTGGAAGCGACTTGGTATCCATAAGGAAAATAGGAAGTTTCTGATTAGCTGTGGCTTTCAACCTCAATCCAACTCCACCGACTTTTCATAGTTGCACATGTGTATTGAAGTTTTACATAAAATGTAACATTTTGATTTGAAAAAAATATATATATTTTTCTGCCACAATGGACCCTTGGTGCTAAGATAACTCCTTATTTGTTTTTATATATGGCTTTGTTGATGATTTTTAGACCCATATTAATTACATCTGATCACTATAACAACTCCTTCAAATAATGGATATATTGTTTTGTCATAGAGAAGCTTAAGAAGGAGAACATTTTTCAAGTCTTATCCTTGTGTTTCTATACTTTGCTACTTTGTAGACATCATAAGTAGTAACTACCACAGTTATTTCTACCAATGACAAAAAAATCAGTTTTTTATGTGGGGTAAGATTGACATCTGTATTATTATTATTATTATTATTATAGTGTAAGAACTCTATTTAATTGGAAATTTTTCTAGCGTGTTCTTTGTTAATCCCCCTAATAATGCATTTCAAGTTAAATTGCTGTTATATTACTCTTGTGTTGTTTTCCTATCCCACCAATTGATTGTCTTTTGTAAAATAACCTAAGTAAAAATGATTTCTAGTTATTATTTATCCATATCAAGGAAAACTTTAAACTCTCATGCACTATGGTTGTTATTCCATTGTTAGTAAAATGTAGGAGTGGCCCTCATGCAACCGTATATCTCTGTTAATTCAGGTTTCCTAATAATTAAAAAGTCACCAGTTTCTGAAATTTGGAATAACATTTCCCATAGAATTGCTCAGCACTACTTAACTGGTTCTACTTTCCTATGAAAACCTTAAGATCAGTAAATTTTCATGGAGTAGATAACTTTGAATTATTGAGTCTCCCTTTGGTAAAGTAATTAAAGAGATGGCCCAAGCTATAAAATAAGAACTTATTTGGGAGCTAGCATTGGGGCCCAGTGGGTTAAGTTGCAGCCTGTAATACTGACGCACCATACAGGTGAAGGTTAGGGTCCTGGCTGCTTCACTTCTAATCCAGCTCCCTGCTAATGCACCTGGGAAAACAGTGAAGGATGGTCCAAGTGCTTGGGCCTTTGCTATCCACATGAGAGACCTGGATGAAGCTCCTAGCTCCTGGTTTCGGGCCTTGGTCATTGCAGCCATCTGGGGTGTGAACCAGCAGATGGAAGATCTCTCATACTCTTTCTAACTTTGCCTTTCAAATAAATGATCTTAAAAAAATGTATTGGATATTTTTCCTTCTCTCTACCTGACTTTCAACAAACAATAAAAACTTTAATTTTAACTGATGCTGCATGATAATTTACTTGTATTTATAAATAAATTAATGATAAAATTATGTACCCTATAACATTTGTCATTTTCCTTAAAAAGTAACTGAATCCTAAAAGAAATATATGAAATATTTTTCATTATATCAGTCACACTGTTGCATAGGGTTTTTTCAATAACATGGATTTTCAAAATGTCTTTTTCCATAAAACTCAAATAACCTTTTGATGAAGTTTAAGCAAGAACATAGAATATCTGGTCTTTATTAAAGCTACTTGGAAATATAATATTTAAAAGGAAGTCATAAACAAAATACAATTGTTTCTTATAAAAACTAATTATAATGCTTCATTTGTGGACTAGAAAAGGAAATTGTTTAGAATTTAACCCATTATTTATCACCTAAAAATATTAGTACACATTTTGGTTTTCTAGTAAACTTTAGTGTTTCAAATAATTAGAAAATAATTATTAGTAGTCTTTCCCCTAGGACTCTTTCTGGTTTTTTTTAAAATGATAATTTCTCACAAAGACCATTTGGTACTAATTCTCTTCCTTCCATCCTAATCTGTAAATGCCACCAAGTAAACAAAGTATGTCTGAACCACAAAATTAGAGTATTGGCAGATACTTAATTTTGTTCTTGAGCAAAAAATTACACCAAAACTAAGAAATTATATTTGAGTGTAACCTAAAGATAACTTATCAATTCATTTACTGGCATTCACGTAGGTGTAATATAATACAATGAAATCACATATTTCCTATGAAATATTTATCAGTTTGAAAAAACTGCAGTAAAGTCAATGTATTGTGGTTTATAGTCATTCCCCATAGAGTTTCATTAAGAACTAGTGACGTAAATTGGCAGTGGTTATACCACAGATCCTTACAAATATATCTAAAATTCTGGCCAAATAACATTTATTTTTAAATGCATATATTTGATTTTATTCTAAAGACTTCACATTTAATTTTTCTTTGGAGTTTTTGTCTGTACACTCATGTAATTGTTTATACTGTTACTGTAGCTTAGAGCTAATATGTGATTCAAAAGTGTAAATATATGTTTATAAACTTAAAATATCACTATGACCAAAGTTCTGTTGACCCCTGGAAGGTACAGAACTTCAGTTTCCTTCCAGTGTTTTCACAGGAGTTAATGACATTTAAGTCTTTGGAGATCTGAATTATGCTATCAATTTTAATTCTCTAGATCTATGTTACCCTTTGGAGGAAATACACTATTACAGCTTTTCTAGGTTTACCACACTGTAAACTTGGATGTTTTTGGGTCCTGGCAGTGTCATTTGACTCTTAGCCAGACTGTAGGGGGTACCTAACCATATGTCATGTTTTCACTATAACAAATTCTGAAGCTAAAAACTGACTCTCATTTTCCCTAGGGGACCATAGAGGCACCATATGATTATAACTCCTACTGCTTATTTCTTCACAGTGAGCCAACACCAAAACACAGTGTCATGTTGCTAACGGGGCCTTGTTAATTGACATAGTACAGGTCCAAGTTATCATCCTTTTCCTATAAACAAAATATTTTTTTGCTAAGCAGTTGTATCATATGTAGATATTAAGTGTAGATATGACATATTACTACTGCCAGAGGCCTTTTGATACCTATATATTTCAATAACATCTTCCTTGGGGGAGACAAAAAGAATTCTAACATACTAGAAATTACATTAAAGCCCTTAAGTATTTCTGTAATGAGAAACAATCATTCTAACCTATTTGTTGTTTATCATTGAATAAAATTCTGTTAGTGATATGTACTTTGTGCACCTTTTAAAGAAATTATGTATGGTTTATCACAAAATTAGTAAAATTATGCAATGTGTTTTCTATAGATTTCATGAAATTCTGAACTGCTTGTTTCAAAATAGAGAAGAAATCAGACAAGAATATCTGAAATTGGAAATGTTGCTTAAAGAAAATGAACTTAAGTCATTCTATCAACAACAGTGTCATAAACAAATAGAAATGATGTGTTCTGAAGACAAAGTAGAAAAGGTATTTAACAATTTTGTGATTATATTTATAGAATGTAATACCATGAGGACTTTGGAGTTTTAATAGACGAGTTAGTTAGTCATCCATTTTCTATAAACACCAGGAAATATTCTCTGGGGTTTATGGAGTTCTTTTTTTTTTTTTTTATTTTAAAGATTTATTTATTTATTCGAAAGGCAGAGTTACAGAGAAGCAGAGGGAGAGAAAAGTCTTCCATCCACTGGTTCACTCCCCAGATGGCCACAATGGCCAGAGCTGGGCCAATCTGAAGGCAGGAGCCAGGAGCTTCTGCCAGGCCTCCCACATGGGTGCAGGGGCCTAAGGACTTGGGTCATCTTATACTGCTTTCCAGGCCATAACAGAGAGCTGGATCAGAAGTGGAGCAGCCGAGATTCAAACCAGCGCCCATTTGAGATGCCTACACTGCAGGCGGCGGCTTTACCCACTATGCCACAGCTCAGGCCCCTGTGGAGTTCTTAAAAGGAAGTTAACACTCAGAGAGAATTGGTTTCCAAAGGTGCAGCAGTAGTAGCAGTCCGGGAGCAGATGCAAGCATTAGTTTATAACTTATCATCAGATTGTCTTTTTCAAGGAAGAATACTGTTAGATACAGCTGAAGTGAGCTCCAAATGCAGCATAGATAGTATATGTGGATGGAGTGGATTTGGCCTAGTGGTTAAATAACTGATTGGGACACTTGTATTCCATATCTGAGTTTCTAGGTTAGAATTCTGGCTCTGTGCTTGATTCCAGTATCCTGCTAATATAAACCCTTGGAGTTAGCAGGTGATGGCTCTACTAGTTGGGTCACTGCCACTGACATGGGGAGGCCAGGATTAAGTTCCCAATTCCCAGCTTCAGCCTGGTCTAGCCCCTGGTATTTAGGGAGTAAACCAACAGATGGAAGCTCTGCCTTTTATTTTTATCTGTGTGTGTCTCTCTCGATCTCTTCCTCTCCTTACCTTTCAAACAAATAAATAGATTTTTAAAGATAGCATATGTAGACTAGGTATCATATAACAAACTGAAAATATGCATTCATCTGTTAGGCTTTCGAGGAGGAGATTGTGAGAAAGGACAATTGTGTAAAAAATTTATGGTTGAGAATTTTATAGGACCAATAAGATAAATTCAAGAAGCTTCATTCTGAGCAGTATAAAATAATTTTATAGCTAGACATGTGAAACTACAGATTGCAAATGATCAAAAAAATGAGCATTTTGAAAATACTAGATAATCATTCTCCCTAGTTTTGCTATTCATCAATGGTAAGTTTTGTCATATTTTATGTAATTTACAGAATGCTTTAACAAACTAGCATTTTACTTTTTTCTTAGCCTCTGAAATAGGTAAGATGTGATATACTAAAAAATAATCACAGGCATTCATTAATGGTATCATTGATACCGATTTATCAGAAGCTACTAAACTGTATTATGAAAATCAATAATTTGTTTACTGACTGTTTTTGTGTGCCTTGTCTTACTGAAAATTCCTTTCTAATTTTATTTATTTCAAATTTTACTTAAAATATCCCTCACATTCTTTTTTTTGCAGAATAAAAACTAAATTTTTATCTTTGAAACTTGCTACTATATATGCACTTTAATGTTAAAATGAAAATTTTCAGTTTAATTTGATAAATATAATGAGATGCAAATAACAGATTATCTCATAGGATTAATATAATACTTTGTTGTTTATATGTTTGCTAGATATAATTCTGAAATAATACCATATTATATATTTTAAGAGTTGTATATTTTGTTTTAGTTATTAGTACACTTTATAGAGTAATGTTTAATGGGAATAGTAATTTCTCTTTCAGGTTTTATGTTGATATCTATTAAATATGGTTCAGGTATTTGAATCTGTAATTATCTAACTTTTTGACCAAAGGCAAGAAATGTAATCATGGGAATCTGATATTGAGTTAATATCACAATTTTAACAACAGTTACTATTTAACATGTTTCTATGCAAAGCCTTGTGCTAGACACAATGGAAAAGTATGAGACACTGTATTGCTTTCACTTATTTACATGCTAATTCAATAGTAAAAAATGATAAAGCACTATTAATTGTCATATGTAGGAGTATAATAGTAATAAGACCAGCTAATATTGTTGAGCAGTGCCAGGCAATTTTTTTTTTTTAATTTATTATCTGAAAAAATGACAGGGAAGAGGCAGACATCTTTCATCCAGTGGTTCACTCCTGAAATGGCTGCAACAGGACTGGACCAAGCCAGAGTCAGGAGCCTGAAACTCCATCTGGGTCTCCCATGTGTGTGTCAGGGGCTAAAGTACTTAGCTTCTTTTGCTGCTTTCTCAGGTGTATCATCAGGGAGCTGAATGGGGAGCAGAAAAACCGAGACATGAATTGGCACTCAGATATGTGGTGCAAGCATCACAGACAGCAGCCCAACCTGCTGCGCCACAACGCCAGCCCTAGACATTTTTCTATGTATAGATTTTTCTTTGTATAGATTAATTCATTTAGTATATATAACTATCCTATGAGATAGATCCAAAATTATTACCATCTATGAGCAAGAGGATTTAAAACTCAGTAAATTGTCTGGAGTTGCACCATTATTAAACTGTAGCTGTCTGATTTTACAGTGTGCATTCTTAATCACACTGCTGTACTATAAGTAGTATAAACACTGTGGCTGCTCAGAAGAGAAAATAGTAGCTTTCAGTTGTGATGAAAAAGGGGTTCTTAGTGGAAGGACAAAATTTGCACTGCGCTTTACATTAAAATACGATAGGAACACTGTGTTCAAGATAACTGACCAGAACAAGGCATATTTGTAGGACTATATCTATAGAAGAAAATTACTAGACTCAACACTTCCTACCAATTGCTGTTGTGTTACACGTGGTAAAAGTCCATCTATTTCCATAACCTGTTCTTTCTGAACCTGAAAGAAGTCAGAGTTCACCACTACAAATGGCTTGAGGTTGGAACAAAATGTAAGGCATATTTGCTGTATTGGAAATTATTGACAATAGATGGAAAGAGAGGCTAGTAGAACAGATTATAGAAATATTTGTTGCCAGAAATTTAGCATCTATTTTTGTAACCAAAAGGAAATCTTTGAAACCAAGTGGCATTATAAGAGCTCAGAAACCAAGTGATACTTTAAACATTTGTATATTCTTATTTAGTATAATTAATAACCTTGCCCTGTTTGATGACAAACTAATTTTTGAAGTTGTTATTTTAGTAGTATTATTATTTTCACCCAATGAGTTTTGAATGTCTGGAATTATCAAGACATGGAGTAATGGAATGGGTTTGACTAGATTTCTTTAATGTTTTACTCTTTCCATCTTACTCTGTTTAGTGGTCTTTTTTCAACTCTTGTAACTATTATAAGACTTGATAAGCAATGCAGATATAAACTCTGAAGTTATTATTAAGTTAAGCCATGGAGAAACAGAAAAACATCAGAAATTGAGTTGGGTTCTTGTTCTGTTTTTACACACTAGTGTCAAACTTCAGTTTTACCATTGTAGAACTAGGAATTATGTTTTCAATCTTTTGAAAAAGTAGCTATTCATTAAGAGTACTGAAAGAATCTCCTAACATTGATTCAGATATAAAAAGTAGAGAATTGACTCTGAGATTAGTATTAAAGTGAAGCTCCTGGGTAATTTTATGGTTACATAAAGATAATCTATAAAATTATTTTTAGAGTTTATCATAGCATCAGTTCTCTTTTACAAATCAGCAGTAGCATCTAGAATGTCAGAATTATGTGTCTATTCTCTCTTAAGACATTAGTGGCATTCTGAGTATTTTGTTGATGAAATATATAAAGCATTTGAAACCTTAATGGGAAACATTTCACTTTAATGTCAGAATTTAATGTGCATATTTTAGAATATAGTCCCAAACATTTAACTTGCCATTTTAAAATAATGATTCCATAGGACTACCTGCAAGGGAAATGTCTCCATGGAGCATCATGAGGATACATCATATGCACCTAAAAAGTAAAAAAAGTCAATGCCAATATTGTGGCATAGTGGGTAAAGCCACTGCCTACAACACCAGCAACCCATATGGACACTGGTTCATGTCCTAGCCACTCTGCCTCTGATCCAGCTCCCTCTAATGCCCTGGGAAAAGCAGCAAATGATGTCCCAAATGTTTGGCCCCCTGCCACCCACATGGGAGACATAGAGAAAGTTCCTGGCTCCTGGTCTCTGCCCGACCCACTGCTGAACATTGCATCCATCTGGGGAGTGAACCAGTGGATGGAAGATCTCTCTCTGTCTCTTCCTGTCTCCTCCCTTTCTCCCTCCCTCCCTCCCTCCTTCTTGTCCTCCTCCTCTCCTCCACCTCTCCTCCTCCTCCTTCTCTCTCTCTCTCTCTCACCCTGCCTTTCAAAAATAAGTAAATAAATCTTTTTAAAAAATTATTCAAAAGTCAAATCCATACTTCCTGGGATTTTCGGTTAGGATCTTTCTGGTATTAAATATTGTTGCCATGGGACCCACAGATCATATCCTACCCTGGTTTCTGGGAGTGCCTATGACATTTGTGAATGTTAAAGCAAAATAATATCAGTGGACTCTAAACTTCAAGTGTCAAGATCTCTTTCCACTTTATAAAAAAAATTATGTAGGACCTCAAAGAGCTCTTATTTATATGGATTCCATCTATCAATATTAATTATGTTAGAAATTAAAACTGAAATTCATAAAAATATATTTGTGTTCATTGGAAAATATCATTTCATAACATAGTTAACATTTTTATAAAAGTCACTAATTATATTTTCCTTTTTTTTTTTTTTAAGATTTATTTATTTATTTGAGAGGCAGAGTTACAGAGAGAGATCTTCCATCTGCTGGTTCAGTCCCCAAATGGCCACAATGGCCAGAGTTGAGCTGATTCGAAGGCAGGAGCCAGGAGCTTCGTCTAGTTCTCCCACATCAGCACAGAGGCCCTAGTACAAGGGCCCTCTTCCACTGCTTTCCCAGGCCATTAGCAGGGAGCTGGATCAGAGGTGTATCAACCGGTACTCAAACCCACACCCTTATGGGATACAGGCACTGCAACTGCTTCTTTGACACCCTGTTGAACTATTACACATCCTTTAACCTCTAGAAACCTTTATAATGTGTATGCAAGTAAGAATTAAAAAGGCTTAGTGTTATTATAAAAATAATTTGACATTGTGAATTCCGTCAAAGACTCTCAAGGATCCTTAGGATCCCTGTACCACACCTAGAGAATCTGTATTATAGCTATCTTTCTTACTCCTCTTCCTGACAAACTGATTGTTTTGAAGGGTTACTTGTTGTTTGTTTTATCTTCTTGACTACTCAGTTTCTTTGTTGAAGGTTTTTTATTAATGTCTTACCTTGTCAAGGTGCAATTGAGGTGTCATAATTAACTAGAGAAACCAGAGTAGTCAAGAACCTCTGTGAGAATGACAATACTCATCAACCATTTTCCCCTCATCTAATGGACTCCAGGCTGAAATGGAGTCTGCTTCTCCTTGGTCCTTATAATTTCCTTAAAAGGAATGTCAAGTAAAATTTTATGGCTGTCTAAGGCTTGGCTGTGACTTCTGTTAGCCACCTTTTCCTTGCATTAAATCTTTCATAAGCTCACATCCTCTATGTAGATGATAATGATAATATTTTTATTGTTGTATACCCCAAATGTCAATAGTACATCTTGCTTGAAAGTCAGAAAGAAATTAGAGTTTACAAAGAGAAGGAGGTCTCTGATCAGTTTCAATAGTTTTTGTTTTTGTTTTCATTCTCCACTTCAAAATTCAACTGTAGATGGTTCTAATCCATAGAAATCTATTATTTCAGGTGTAGCCATATCTGATAATTGTTTAATTCAGTGTCTATTGGCAGATAGCCCAGAGAGGCCAACCTATATTGTCCCACAGATTCCATGATAATGTGTAAGATCCTAGGAGCTAGACACCCCAAAATTAGTTTTAATCTCAATTTGTACCTCTGTAAAACTCCAAAACTATTGAGGTTATCTGCATGGATCCTGAACCAACCATCAGGAAAGATAGGCACACTGATACAACTCTCTTTTCTGTCATTTGTATCAACCAATTTAAGGCCACATAGGCAAAACTTAGCAATACAACACAATTTCTTCACATCTTTCAAATTGGACCAATGACTAAAACAAGATATACATCTTTTTTGACTGTATTAAAGCAAATCATGGAATTTATCTGACCTTGTGCGAACTTTTCAATTGTAATATACTGAAAGAAATGTATTTTAGGGCAAAAGAAAGGAAAAGAGAAAAGGAAGTTACAGTCTTCAATTTGGCCTTTGTATTTCTTAAAACCATAAACTCTCAACATGTAATTTTATAAAAATGACTCACAATTCAATTTCCTATTTTCCTGCAAGCAGTGGGATTGTGTGATGTCAAGGGGAAAATAGCTTTAAATACAAAAGAATGGTTTAATTTCATAAGCTACGATAGCATACTTAAAAGAAAATATACCACTTTACTAATATCACATCAAATATAGAAATTAGGTTGATTATTAGGGGCCAGTGCTGTGGTGCAATAGGTTAATCCTCCACCGGCACCGACATCCCATATGGGCACCGGTTCTAGTCCCTGCTGCTGCTCTTCAAATCCCGCTCTCTGCCATGGAGAAGATGAATCAAGTCCTTGGGCCCCTGTACCCGCATTGCAGCCATTTGGAGAGTGAACCAATGGACAAAAGACCTTTCTCACTGTCTCTCCTCACTGTAACTCTCTCAAATAAATAAATGAAATCTTTTAAAAAAAAATTAGGTTGATTATTAAATGCATTATGTTTCAGGCCACTTGCAAAAGAGATCACAGACTTGCAATGTTGAAAACTCGTCGCTGCTACCTGGAGAAAAAGAAAGAAGAAGAATTGAAGCAATTTGATGAGAATACTAATTGGCTGCATCGTGTTGAAAATGAAATGAGACTCCTAGGTCAAAATGGTCATATTCCAAAGGTACTTGTATTTGTATGTTCAGATTTTTATTTAAGAACTTAGTTCTTTATCTTTCTTGTATTGAATAAGTGTCCTTCATAACACTATTGTCCAATTTCTCTGAGATTTCCCTGATCCTTTTACTGTTGTTAAATGAATGTATATCTCTTATGCTTTCTAATTACCTATTAGATTTGCTTTGTCCATACTTTCTTTTTTTTGTAATTTTTTTTTATTTTTATTTATTTATTTTTATTTTTGACAGGCAGAGTGTACAGTGAGAGAGAGAGAGAGACAGAGAGAAAGGTCTTCCTTTTGCCATTGGTTTACCCTCCAATGGCCGCCACCGCTGGCGCGCTGTGGCCGGCACATCGCGCTGATCCGAAGCCAGGAGCCAGGTGCTTTTCCTGGTCTCCCATGGGGCGCAGGGCCCAAGCACTTGGGCCATCCTCCACTGCACTCCCGGGCCACAGCAGAGAGCTGGCCTGGAAGAGGGGCAACCGGGACAGAACCTGACACCCTGACCGGGACTAGAACCCGGTGTGCCGGTGCCGCAAGGTGGAGGATTAGCCTATTGAGCCACGGCGCTGGCCTGTCTATACTTTGAAAACAATAAAGTTACTTAAGGAATTGCATCGTTTTATGAAGTAGCTATTAAAATAGAGTAAATTCCATTTCAAACTACACTTGAGGCTTTATCAAGTAGGTAATTTAAGTTTGTTTTAAATTTTTATATATATTGTGCAAAAGTGATTTTAAGTGTGGGCACCATTAGTAGTATTCTAAAGAAAACCAATTTAAAAGAGTGAGTGTGTGTGTATGACTGAAAATATTATACCTTAATTTGGCAAAAGTTTAAACTTCTAGTAAATGATGTATGATGATGCCTAATGGCTCTATTAGGTTAGAATTTTGTTCTACCACAAGATTTCAATAATCTGACTTCAGTGTCTTAACTAGTTTGGGCTGTATTTTGCTCCTTAAAAGTGTTGGAAATATGCAGTTTGGTCTTGTTGGAGTACTTCCAAAAAGTGATCAAAGTCATCATTGTGCTTTTCATTTCATGATTTGTAACATTACTATTTCATTTCTAGTCTCAAATTTATACCCAGACCAGAAGAAAAGTAAAAGGGAAACTGTGTTTCTATCAGGAAAACAAGGACTTTCCAGAAATTCCTAACAGACTGTATGTTAGCTAAAATTAAGTCACATAGCTATCCTCAGGTAAAAAGGAGTGTAGAAAGGTTCCATTTTCTTTTACTGGATACATTATTATCCTGAACAAAATTGGAGTTCTATTAATAAGAAAGAAGTGGAAACTGAATATGGGATAAGCAACTGGCAGCAACTGTCACAAAGTAATTAATATTGATCCTGAAACCTTGCACATTAAAGAACGTCTTTACAATTTTTTTTTTTTTTTTTTTTTTTTTTTTTTTTTTTTTTTTTTTGACAAGCAGAGTTAGACAATGAGAGAGAGAGACAGAGAGAAAGGTCTTCCTTTTGCCATTGGTTCACACTCCAATGGCCACTGCTGCCGGCGCACTGCACCGATCTGAAGCCAAGAGCCAGGTGCTTCTCCTGGTCTCCCATGGGGTGTAGGGCCCAAGCACTTGGGCCATCCTCCACTGCACTCCCGGGCCACAGCGGAGAGCTGGCCTGGAAGAGGGGCAATCGGGACAGAATCCGGTGCCCCCCCCCCCCCCCAGGACAGGATCCCAGGGTGATGGCCACAGATGGAGGGTTAGCCTAGTGAGCTGCAGCACCAGCCCAATTTTTTTTCTTAGAGGAGGATGATTATGAGTTGGCCCTGGAATGCATACAAGATTTTAAACTCCAAAGTCTTACATTAATGGTACAAAGAATTTATGAACTTAATCCAATTATGGTATTTAGAGGTGAGGCCTTAGGGAAGTGCTTAAGATTGGTTTAGGTCTTTAAAGTGGAGCCCTCATGACTGAATCCTGGTGGATTCATAGCAAGACAGGCTATAGATTGTTCAGATTTAGACATTCTGGATCCCTATCTTTTGCCGTGAGATTCTCTGCACCACACCAGAATTCTGCCAGTGAGAAGGCTATCACTAGGTGGGGGCCCTTAGACCTTGCGCTTCTGGAACTGTAAACCAAAATAATCCTCTTTTTTTTTCTTTTTTTAATGAAGTTAGCCTGCCTTAGATATTTCTTGAGAGTAATGAAAAGCTGACTAATACTGAGGAGTATCTAAGTCTGTACTTTGATGATGCTCTTCTGAAATTCACTGTTCTCTATGAGCTAGTTGATATCTTTCTAAGGTCTTAAAATATCTTGAAGAGTGCCACACTAAAATAGAGGTGAAAGAAAATATGAAGTATTCAGTAACAAACTTTAAAACTCAAAATTTTTTTAATACTACCTAATGCCTCATAACCAGGGGGATGTATTCTGTGATTGACTAGCAGTGACTGTAAATGGTCATTAAGCATTAAAACTCAGACATACAGAAGACTTAAGTTACATGAAGCTTTTCCATTAACCAATGTTATAACTATCTACTTTAGGGACCAGTGTTGTGGTGCAGCAATGCCACTTGTAATACTGACATCCCGTTTCAGAGTGCCAGTTCAAGCCCTGGTCCATATCATCATGCCAGTTTGAATCCCAGGTGCTCTACTTCTGAACCAGCTCTGTGCTAAAGTGCCTGGGAAGGCAGCAGAAGGTAGACCAAGTGCTTGGACCCCTGCCACCCACTTGAGAGGCCAGATAGATCTTCAGGTTCCTGAAACTTTTGTACCATTTGGGGGTTAAATCAGCAGATGGAAGATTTTTCTCCCTTCCTCTCTTTGTCACTCTGCCTTTCAAATAACTAAATCTTAAGGGGGGGGGGGGGGCAGGACATCTACTTTAGAGGGATAATAAAAAACTTTAAAATGCTGTATCCATCTCAAGATAATATAATGAGTAATCAAAGGAGTAATCAAAAATGTTGGAGTTGTCTAGGCTTAAAAAAGGTAACTTCAGAAATTTCACATTACGTATTCGTTATCTAAAACAATAGAGACTCTTCATTGACTACTGTCATCTCCATGAGTGTACCTGTAAAAGAACCAAAACCATGTTCTGCATAAAAAGTATTTGAAGAAAGTAGCTGATAATCCTGACCGCTTGAATATTTCTCATTCAGTGCACTGGAGCTGATTCTCTTAAGTGTTCTATGTTGACAGTACTTTTTGATTTTTTTTTATTATTTGTATATCTAAAGAAGTGCTTTTGAGATTATCATTTTGTAAGCTAATAAAATTATAAATATTTTGGTTAAAGGTAATCTTTGACCTTATTTAATAATGACTACTATATTACTAATGCATGACTGATTATTTAGCACTTTATTGGTCAAAAACTTTCTTAAGAGGAGTCTAAAAGAATTTTTTGTGTGTGGTAAAATATAACATAAAATTTACCATTTTTAGATTGACATTTCAGTGACATTACATTCATTTAAAAAACTTACATATATAAAATATGATTTTAAAAGTTATCAATATTATTTTGGTTATTTTAATGCATTTAAATTGTTTCAGTGTGGTCAAACCTAATTTTTCTAATTGTCCTCTAGAACTCAAGTGGAAATTTTGCACATTTAAATGTGAACCTAAAATTGATTTTAAATTCTGTGGTTTTTTTTTTTGTTTTTTTTTTTTTTTTTTTTTTTTTTTTTTTTTTTTACAGGCAGAGTGGACAGTGAGAGAGAGAGAGACAGAGAGAAAGGTCTTCCTTTGTAATTGGTTCACCCTCCAGTGGCCGCCGCGGCCTGCGCACCGTGCTGATCCAAAAGCAGGAACCAGGTGCTTCTCCTGGTCTCCCAAGGGGTGCAGGGCCCAAGCACTTGGGCCATCCTCCATCCTCCACTGCACTCCCGGGCCACAGCAGAGAGCTGGCCTGGAAGAGGGGCAACCAGGACAGAACCTGGCGCCCCGACCGGGACTAGAACCCCGGGTTCCGGCGCCGCAGGCGGAGGATTAGCCTAGTGAGCCGCGCACCGGCCTTAAGTTCTGTTTTTTTTTTTAATACATTGGGAAGTATCACTATGTTCCAAACGTTGTATTTATGAAATTCTTGAAGTTTATATCCCTTAAATAAAAGGTTTCTGGTTAAAAAAAAATCTGGGCCAGCAGCCATTGGGGGTGAACCAGCGGAAAAGGAAGACCTTTCTCTCTGTCTCTCTCTCTCTCACTGTCCACTCTGGCTGTCAAAAGAAAACTGAAAATATTTAAAATTGAAATTGTTTCCATGTCTACTACCTAAGTCCCACCCTAGTTTTCTTTTTTCTCTATATTGCACAGCTGAATTAACTAGTTATTAAGTTGATGAAGGGACTATATTCAGGATCACACAACACTAGACTAACTACTTTTGACTTCTTATTGATTCTGTTTTCTCTACACTCTCCATCATTATCTACTTTTTATGCTTTTAAATCTATCCCCATCTATCATTAAATCCAACTACACTATTTCAGATTCCAACTACACTATTTCCAACCCCCTATTTCTGGGCAGCTAATTTTTACTTTCTGCTTCCATTCATGTTTTGCTGCAATTCATTCTCTATACTACAGCCAGAATGAGGTTTTAAAGAGTAATCCTGATCATATGATTCTTCAATACCCTCTCCCTACTATATACTGTGCATTATGATTTACCAGGCATAGCATGGTCTGGCACCTGAATAACTCTCAAGTTTTACACTTGATCTTAGGCAAAAGGCCAAGAAGTGATGCTTCTTAAGTTTTATATGTCACCTCTCCATGTAGCCTGCACTTCAGCCATTAATAGTGCCTACTTGTAGTTTTCAGAATTAGATCGTGCTCTTTCAGTCAGATTCAATCATTAGTGTGTCGTGACATAAAAATAAGACTCAAATTGTAAACTTGCTTTTCCAAAGATGAAAAGCTTACCATGACTCATTAACTAATATAATCATACCGCTGAATTTTTTTGAGAGATTTATTTATTTTTATTTTAATGTCAGAGTTACACTGAGAGAGGAGAGGCAGAGAGAGAGGGAGAGGTCTTCCATCCTCTAGTTCACTCCCAAAATGGCCACAATGGCCAGAGCTGCACTGATCCGAAGCCAGGAGTGAGGAGTTTCTTCACAGTCTCCCACGCGGGTGCAGGGGCCCAAGGACTTGGGCCATCTTCTGCTGCTTTCCCAGGCCATAGCAGAGAGCTGGATCGGAAGTAGAGCAGCCGGGACTCGAATTGGTGCCCATGTGGGATGCTGGCACTGCAGGCGGCAGCTTTACCCGCTGTGTCACTGTGCCAGCTCCCACAGCTGAATCTTTTTTCTATGAAAGAATAATTCAAGAAGATAAAAGAATAAGATTATCAGAAACTGTATATAAAGGAAGAATTTTGTATGTAGTATAAATGGAATATTTGGCAAAGATGTTCACACTATATCACTCAATTTTCTAACTGGAAAGCACTATCTTCATCTAGTAAACTGATATCCATAAACGCCATATATTTGACTTAAGATGGCTTTTGTTTCAAGGCTAACAATAAAATCACATGACTTATAGGCCAGTGCTCTAAGCATATAATCCTGACTCCATAAAGACTTTTATTTTTCCAAATGCTTGCTATATTTCTTGGAATATAGTCATGAATTATGTAAATAACCTTTAACTTCAATATATCAGACAAATAGAGTGACATTATTTCTCTCTTACATTTTCTACCATGGCATAGGAAGTGTTGAAAAGAAAGAAAAAGCTACTTTCACCTTTTAGAGACTTAGTAACCAACTGTGAATTGGGAAGGCTTTTTAGAAAGCTAAAATGCATTATACTTTTGAGGAAGTTTCCGGTCATAACTCCGCCTGCTTATGCATTGCTGTCTTGTCTGTTCAAAATATCCAGAAAACTTCCATCCTTTTCATTATACTCACTGATATTCTGAGAATGTTGTCGGGATATCATTCATACTTTAGTGTACTCACTTAACTGATATTTCCTGTGCTTAGTTTAGTACACCAAATTTGAGGAAAGACAAGTAATTTTAGGTAGTATAGTAGAGTGCCCCTGGCCCTAGGCAGGTGCTGATTAGAAATATTGGAACCCTTAAGAGGCTTGTTCATATTTTGGCCAACAACAAAGCTTACTTATGCCAAGAGTGGTTGTGGACAAAACATTTTCATAATTAAATATATAAATAAATGAAAATATTACTGATCAATGCCATGAGAATATTGGAAGTTGAGTGGACAGTTCCATCTTTAAATACATTTCTTTAAATACATTGCTACCCTGAGGAAGCAGCATTTAAGTAAAAACTGATCATCCTCATGTATTTTCACAAAATAATGAACAAATAGGATTAACCAAAAAACTCTCATCTTCAGAAATCCTACCTTATTTCTGAGGAAATCTGGTACCTTTTACTGCTTATAAATTATAGACCATCTCTACAAGAATTTGCTTCTAAACATTTGATAACCTAAAATAATTGAAACTATTCACTATATAAAATAAGCTTTATTGAAATTAAGTTTAATATTTTTAAAAGTCTCTGAAATATATTTTCTTTATTTTCCCAGGAACTCAGTAAAGATTTTCATTGCCATCATCTGCACCTCCAGAACAAGGATTTGAAAGCACAAATTAGACATATGATGGATCTAGCCTGTCTTCAAGAACAACACCACAGACAGACTGAGGCGTATGTTTATGGATTTACCTATTCTACAAATTTACCACTATAGACCTAAAGTACTTGAAGCATAGGAGGCCAGTTATCCTTTGCTAAAAAGCTAAGTTTTTTATCTGATATAAATACATCATTTCTAAGTGTTTGCTAGCATCAGAAAACATGCAAAGTTAGAAAACATGCAAAATTGACAGAGTATAAAAGATATGATTCTTCCCTTCCAGCTAACTTTTTTATTCTTTTTATTTAAAAAAATTATTTTTTTATTTGAGGGGCAGAGTTACAGAGAGAGAGAAGAGAGAGGCAGAGAGAGGGAGGTCTTCCATCCCCTGGATCACTTCAGAGCTGGGCCAATCCGAAGACAGGAGCCAGGAGCTTCTTCCTGGTCTCCCATGCAGGTGCAGAGGCCCAAGCACTTGGGCCATCTTCTACTGCTTTCCCAGGCCATAGCAGAGAGCTGGATCAGAAGTGGAACAGCCGAGACTCGAATCAGCGCCCATATGGGATGTCAGCGCTGCAGGTGGAGGCTTAGCCTACTGCACCATGGCGCTGGCCCTAGCTTTTTATACTTTAAGATGTATTTGTTTGTGTGAAAGAGTTACAGGGAAAGAGAGAGACAGAGAGATCTTCCATCTGCTGATTCACTCCCCAGATAGCCTCAACGGCCAGGGCCATGCAAAACCCAGGAGCCAGGAGCTTCTTCCAGGTCTCTCCCAAAAGCATGTTAGGGGCCAAACAATTGGGCCATCTTCTGCTGCTTTACTTTCATAATCAAAAGAAGTCTGCATTCATTTCCATCCTCTAGTCATCCATTTAGCTCTTATTAACAATTTACTATTAACACCAACTGAATTTTTAGTAGGCAATTGTTAATTATTCCTAATTCAGAATGATTTTTTGCTGTCATTAAAATGCAGTTACTAAACATCAGATTTATGTGAACCCTTTTATACTGTCTCTACTAGATCAGTGGTAACATGTTAGTCATTTATTTGAAAAAAATAGTAAAAAAATATTAATCAACATAATCCATATTAATTATTTAAATTCAATGAGCCTTAAAGTTCTTGTATGTGAATTAGATTGCAATGTGTTCCATTTAAAGGTTTTGAAACGGTTAAACAATATAAAAATAAGTAATGCTAAAAGTACCTTTCTTTGCATTCTTAAAACCATTCCTAGTTTCAGTGATTCACTCTGGGGATTCACAGACTCATCATACAGCTGTTCTCAATGACTATGATTTTTTACATCAGAAAGATGCAAACCAAAATCACTAAAGGGAAAAGGCTCATGGGCGATTGGGAGGCTACCAGATAAAAGTTTCTAGAATTCTTCCAGTGGGGTCACACAGAATCTGCTTAAATCCTCCAGTAAAAAGTTGTGATAATGCATATGAAATGTTGTCTATTTTGAAAGACTCAGTGTCCTGGATTTTTACTGGTAACTGGTCACATAGGCACCCTCTGCCTAGCATGCACCAGAGATGGGAAGCAAGTGTTCAGTATAAATCACACTTCTGTCATATCCATTCTGAAAATGATGAGAGCTCTCCCAAAATCCAAGTTTCAAATACCAGCCAAGGGCAACTTTGCAACCAAGCCTTTCTTGGCCTTCCCAGCCATACAGTGTTAACTCTTGTTATCAGTATAGTTGGTCAATAAATAACTGCTTTATTGACTTTTTAATTAGTAACTGTTCCCTATGTTTGTTGCCTACTTGACTTAAATGTACTACTCTTAGAAACCCTCACCATAAAGAAATTCAAAAATAATTTGTACTGCTATCTAAATGCTTAATGCTCCTAGTTATCAGATGGTTATTTCATAATGTGTTCAATTTAATGCCTGATTATTCTTTTTTCACTGCCCTATCAATACTTCAAATGATTCTATTTTCCTAGATGTTATGGATCAACTGAAACATCATCTATTGACTGCCACAGATTTCTGACTGAATCATTTCAAGATCACTTATATTATTTGCCAACTTTTACAAGTTAGGAAACATTGGTTGAATGCATGAATTTATAACTGGTTAGCTGTGATATTTTACCAGTAAATAGGATACATTCAATGTAGCTGATTGTTGAAGATAGGAAAGATTTTGGGTCAGAACCACGAATCTAATGCCCTATCAATTCTAATATCCACCTTCCTTGTCCACAACTTTTCTCCCTGAATCCCCTTTAAATTCTATTCTGAAAGCCATTGCTTTGGGTAATTTCCCTTTTTTTTTTTTTTTTTGACAGGCAGAGTGGATAGTGAGAGAGAGAGACAGAGAGAAAGGTTTTCCTTTTGCCGTTGGTTCACCCTCCAATGGCCGCCACAGCTGGCGCGCTGCGGCCGGCGCACCGCGCTGATCCGAAGGCAGGAGCCAGATGCTTCTCCTGGTCTCCCATGGGGTGCAGGGCCCAAGCACTTGGGCCATCCTCCACTGCACTCCCGGGCTGCAGCAGAGAGCTGGCCTGGAAGAGGGGCAACCGGGAAAGAATCTGGCGCCCCGACCGGGACTAGAACCCAGTGTGCTGGCGCCACGAGGTGGAGGATTAGCCTATTGAGCCGTGGCGCTGGCTGGGTAATTTATCTTAAAAATGAGTTGGGATTTCTTCTTTTGTGATGAGTTATTGTATATGTGTGTGTATATTATATACCAAAAATGAGCCTATTCATTTGACATAGTGTATTTTTCATTTGAATCCATAATTATTAGTAACAATAGCAATATGTGTGGTTTGTAAATCATGTTTTGCAAAAGCTTTTTTTATGTATTTAACTCATTTAACCCTCAAAGCAATCTGTGATATAAGTAATGGCTTTTTAAAATTTTTATTTTATTGGAAAGAGAAAAAGTTTTCCCCAAATGACTATAACAGCTCGGGCTGGGCCAGCCTGACACTAGGAGCCAAGAACCCAATCTAGGTATACCAGATGGGTAGCTGGTTCCCAATATTTGATCCATCACCTGCTGCTTTCCACAGTACACATTAATAGGAAGCTGGAACTAAGAGCCAGACTCAAACTTAGGCAATCTCATATGGGATGTACACATTCCAAATAATGTTTTAACTATTGGCAAATGCCCACAGGCTATCTAGTTGTCCCTTACTTTAATTTATGTTTGTATATTTGTATGTTTGCAAGTTTAACTTCCTTTCATGGCTGCAACAGTTCCCTGTCCAGAACTGTATCTGAAAGTCCAGAACTCAATCCACATATCCCATGTGGGTGATTGGAACCAAGTCACTTTCATTATTACCTCTGCCTCTCAGCATATAGGAAAGTTATAGGATACAGGAAGCTGTAGTCAGGAGCAGAGCCTGTATCCATACCAGGTACTAGTCCAATATGGAACATATATGTCTTAACCCTTAGGATAAATTTATGCCCACCCCAAGCCTACCAGCTTAGAGGAACAAGTTTAGTTTATGCTTTGTCCAAGGTTAAGTAGGAGTGACATGAAGACTATCTGAGACTTGTAATTCCTATCCAAGATTGTTTGCACTCTTTATGTAATGTACTAAGAATATGTTGACGTATTTGATTGAAATATCATTCTAAAAGAAAAGATAAATGGAATAATGTCAATAATATATTGATACTTTGGGTGTTACATAAAAGAACCATAGTATTTAAAATTTAGTATTTATCTCTCCTGTTTTTTTTCTCCTTCTGCATATAGAGTTTTGAATGCTTTACTTCCAGCCCTAAGAAAACAGTATTGTACTTTAAAAGAAGCTGGTCTATCAAATGCTGCTTTTGAATCTGACTTTAAAGAAATTGAACATTTGGTGGAGAGGAAAAAAGTGGTGGTCTGGGCAGACCAAACTGCTGAACATCCAAAGCAAAATGACCTACCAGGGATTTCTGTTCTTATGACCTTTCCACAGCTTGGACCAATTCAGTCTATCCCTTGTTGTAAGTACAATTTTTATTTTATAAAGTAAATAGTAACATTAGTCCTAAAGAGATCTTTATGTATCCATCTACAGAAAAGTTAATTTTTTTAAAGGCTTGGCTATTCTATGAGAACAGGAAAATTAACTTCAAAATTATTTGTTAACCAGTCTTTTCCAAAGATCTTAGAACAAGTTTGCTTTGGTGTTCAAAATAACTGTAGTAATAAAACCTATTTCTTAAATTTTGCTCTTTTTCTGCTGACAGATCACTTTGTATCTCTCCATCCCCATCTCTCTCTTTGTCTCTCTCATAAAAGTATTCACTGGACATTTTAATTGCATAGCTAATATATAATCATGGTTGAAAAAAATTAGCATAAAATTCAGATGATACAAGAAATTGAATGTTCTTCTGTTCTTCCTATAATCCCAATCTGATATCACATCTGAAAGATAAATGCTATTAATAGTTTGGTTATCCTTTCAGTGTGTGGGGGAGGAGGTATTTCTGTATCACGAAAAAATTTTGGATACTCTATTTTTTTTAGGTTTTTACATGAATGGTAGCATATTATACATACTGGTCTGCAACAATTTTTGTTTAATTTATTAGGAACATTTTAGAGTACATAAATGAAGAATCTTAATTCATTGTTTGAACTTTTAAAAATTCAGAGAAGTACCATGAATGACTTAACCACTGTTCTGTTAGTAAGCACTGCATCTGAGAACCTGCTTGTTATATGCTCCTAGGTTCCTAGAATAGGTTCCTAGAAGCTGATTTTCTGAGATTAAAGGACAGATAAGACCTTATTCTATGTGAAAGCAAATGAGTTTTCTCCTGCTTGGGCTGGACAAGACCAATTGAGCATCATAATAAAGAATGTCAAAGATCTTCAAAAAAATTTGGCCACAAAAATCTACAGACTTTCTGGGGGAAGTTGACGTTGACTGTATTGTGCCTGATATATTTTTTAAAGATTCATTAATTTATTTATTTGAAGGGCAGATCAGAAAGAGAGATCATCCATTCACTGTTTCAGACCCCAAATGATCACAACAGCCAGGATTGGCCCAGGCCAAAGTTAAGAACCCAGAACTCCATCCAGCTCTCCCATAAGGATAACAGGGGCCCAGAGACTTGAGCCATTATCCACTGCCTTCCCAAACACATTAGTAGGACACTGAATCAGAAGCAGACACACTGATACTTGAATCGGCACTCCAGCAAGTATCACCTTAACTTGCTACACCACAATACCGGCCCCTGTGCCTAATATTTGTGAGTTCACAGACTATCTAGGAACAGATTGAAAGGTGTGCAGAAGCTTCCCATCCTTGAGATGGAAGAATAAGAAGACTCAGAAACAAATTTCACCTTTGTCTCTTCTACAGGATAGTCTTAGCACCAGCTAAGACCAGCTCTTAGTGGAGTCTACTTTACCATTCTCTTCCACCACTCATTATATCAGTACCACATGTGAATTACCTGTAATGAGTCTTCAATCCTTTTTTTACCATCTTTTAAATAGAGAAAAATTGCACAGAGAAAATATATCCAACAAAAAAATGCCAGCAGAGAAAATACGAATTGTGCATGAACCTAATGTGAGGAAAATATCTAAAAGCAGGGACTGTAATGAAATAATTGATGATCCAAATAACGACCCTTAATATTGGGGTGAAGAGCTAATTCAGGATATTAAGGTTGTAATGGTTAGCAATATGCCCTCCTCTGTTATCCATGTAATAAGTAGACTATATATCTAAATGCATATCTATATACTAAGAATGTGTAATAAAATATGAATTGTAAAATAAAGTGAAGGTATATCAGACAAATCACCAAAAAAAGAAAGAAGAATGAAGGAAAATTTCTGTGATGGAATAATTTAATTTTAAAATATTAACAGGATAAAGAAAGATACTAGATAATGAAAAAAGCACATTTCAATAAATTAATCATAAATTTGCACTCACAAATGTATACCACCTAAATATGTAGACCAATAATTTTTACAGATACCAAGAACAAGCAAAATAGATGATTATGATCAGTTTCAGTATTCCCTCTTTAAGAATTTAAGTAATCTTGGCCAGCGCCGCGGGTCACTAGGCTAACCCTCCACCTGCAGTGCCAGCACCCCGGCTTCTAGTCCCGGTCGGGGCGCCGGATTCTGTCTCGGTTGCTCCTCTTCCAGTCCAGCTCAATGCTGTGGCCCAGGAGTGCAGTGGAGGATGGCCCAGGTCCTTGGGCCCTGCACCCGCATGGGAGACCAGGAGGAAGCAGCTGGCTCCTGGTTTCGGATGGGCGCAGCACGCCGGCTGCGACGTGCCAACCGTAGCTGCCACTTGGGGGGTGAACCAACGGAAAATGGAAGACCTTTTCTCTGTCTCTCTCTGCCTGTCCAAAAAATAATAAATAAATAGATAGATAGATAGATAGATAGATAGAATTTAAGTAATCTGGGGCCAGTATTGTGGCATAGTGGATAAGACCTTCCCCCGTGATGCCGGCATCCCAACTGGGCACTGGTTCCATACTTGGCTGCTGCTCTTCCGTTCCAGCTCCCTGCTAATGTGCCTGGGAAAGCAGCAGAGGATGGCCCAAAAACTTAGGTCCCTATACCCTTGTGGGAGAAGAAGCTCCTGGATCCTGACTTCAGACTGGCCCAGCTCTGGCCATTGTAACCATCTGGGGAGTGAACCAGCGATTCAAAGATATCTCTCTCTCTCTCTCTCTCTCTCTCTCTCTTTCTGTGTTTCTCCCTCTGTTTCTTCTGTAACTGTGCCTTTCAATTAAATAAATAAATCTCAAAAAAAAAAAAAAAGAATTGGAGTAATCTAATAGGAAACACTGAATTTAAACATTATATTTAAGCTTTGTTTAATAGATATACAAGAAACATCTACATTTAGTATAACTATTGAAGAAATCATTTTATCATGTCATGCCGAAGAGTCATCTCATTAATCTTTTCTGGAATTTGTTGAAGCTTTCAGTTCTATAGATTCAGGTTTTTGTTGAACTTAGAAAATGGTCTTTCATTATTTTTTTAATTATACTTATCCCATGATCATCTCTTTTATTCTTCCTCTAGAGGTTTTTATAAAGTACATATTTTATTTAGAATGTAACAAAATTAGAAGTAAGTAACTAAAAGGTGATAGGCGGGTGTTTGGTACAAAGGCTTAAGATACCACCTGGGACGCCTGTACCCCATACTCAAGAGCCTGGTCCCAGTCCCAGCTGTTCTGCTTCCTGTCCAGTTTCCTGCCAATACGCATCCTACGAGGAAGCAGACGATGGCTCTAATACATGAATTGCTGCCACCCTTGTGGAAGGCCCAGGTGGCCTTCTGAGTTCCTGGCTTGCTTCTACCCTAGTATTGCTGTTGCTGATATTTGGGGGAGCGATCCAGTGGATGAAATAAGTATATAAAAAACTGGGAGTCACTGGTATTGTGTTGCAGCAATTTTAGCTGCCACAGGCATCCTATATTAGAGTGCTGGTTCAAATCCACTTCTGATCCAGCTCCCTGTCACACATGTGGGTGAACTGAATTCAGACTTTGTGACTGCTGACCTTGGCTTGGCCAGGCTCCAGCTGTGGCACCATTTAAGGATCACACCAGCAAGTAGAAGATCTCTTTCTCTCTCTCTTTCAAATAAATAAATAAATTTTAAAACAAAAACAAAAGAAAATAATTCTTTAAGGTGACCAAAATCTTAATGGATTCAAAATTATCAACAATACTGGGAATTCCATAGAAAAGCAAAATCCAAAGTATAATTATAAATTATATGGAAATAATAAAAAGCACTAAATCTGTGCTCAAAGCAGAAAATTTTAGCTAAGAATTTGTTTTAAATAACATGACCTCTCAAGACCTAAGAAAACCAGTGTAATAGAAGCTAGGAAGAATAAAGGTAATGGTAGAAAATCATGACACAAAAATTTAAAAATTGAAGGGGGGGGAAAATAAATAAATCCAAAAGCTGATCGTTTGCAAGCAGAAAAAAGAAAGAAAAACAACATCAAATATTTTCTCAGTCTATTTAAGGAAAAGTAGACATAGCATATATTAAAAATTAGAAAAGACATAGAAGTATTACCAGAGTGAAATTTAAAATCTAAAAGATAATACCAAAAGTAACCCCAAGAGAAGATGTGACCTGGGGTAGTTTTCCTTATGGCTTTCAAATTTTTTATGTCTTTCTTGGAAAAATCTTTCCTGCCATAATGTGAAAATACCTGCTCATGTTTCTTTAAGATTTTTAGTAGTACTTTGCTTTTTCTGACTTCATCCGCAATACTAATTTAGTCTTTAATTGTGTCCATTCTATCATTTAGCCCTTCTGTTTAATTTTTTATTCTTATTTTCCTTTTTTTTTTTTTTTTTTTTTTTAGTTTTTGTGCTTGTTTCTTGTTTTGAATAGAAACTTCTTGAGTTATTTTAATAAAATACAATATATGGGGATGGTAGCTGAATTTCTTTTTAACTTTTCTCTTTGTTCATTATGCCTCTTGCCTCTGTATTCTTTTCTTTCAAGCTTTTGGTTTTCTTTGAGTGTTGAAACTTCATTGTCAAACATATTTAATGTGATTAAGACTAGGATGATTGTGATCGGTTTCTCTTTGGGCTTTCTCAGTGATAGAGTATTTCTGTTTCTTCATCTGATCGTTTTCCTGAATGAAAAGATTGTTTAAAGCTTTAGATAAGTAAATGGGTCATATCAATCTCCAGGGCCCACACAGGTAGGCAAACAGGCAATCCTTCATATTTGCACAAGTAAGATCACACTGTCCTCTAAGGATATATAGTGCTTTAGAGTTTCACTTCTGGTCTCAACTGCTATCCTGTGCCACTCCCTTACCGCCAAGCTTTCATTTTTCTGGAAGTCTGGATCTTCCCAAGGTTCTGCTCCACTTTTTTCTCTTTCCAGTGCTATTCCTGGGATATCCCCACTATATTTAGAGAGTTTTAACTCAGATTACATGGAAAATTCATGGAAAAT